CCGGTGTGGGGAGCAGCGTGTGGGATCTGCTGTTGCTGTGCTTCTCAGTGGCAGAGCTCTGCCACCTTCTTCTTGTGCTTGCTAAGCTTATTAATCATTTCAAGGTTTCATTGTTACCGTATCAGCTGTGGTATTTGTTCTGGGGCAGCGAGGAGCTGTTCTCATCTTCCTTTGCCCTTTGTGTTGAATGAGGGGCTGTTCCAGGGCAGGGGTTTCCCAGGGGAAAAGAAGTCACTTCAAGATACAATTTTTTTACACTTTCACTTCCCTTCTGAATAGCTGCAGATGAAGATGCTGCCTCACAGCCCAGCACTGTGGGGGCTTGGTGTGGGTATGAGGGAAAACTGGGGCTGAACATGCTAAGTGCTGCTGCTCTGGATGGGCTGGGGATTACAGACACACATGAAAAAAGCCTGAGAAATGCCAGTACCATGGGAGTTGTTTTCATACTGGAGACAAGTGTTTTCCTTTCTCTCTCTCTTTTATTTTTTTTTTTTTAAACCAGGAATGTCTTATTTCAGATAAAAGGCTTGTCTTGTTCTTTGTTTTACCAGGGGCCATATCTCATGTCTTTGTCTCGGCAGTGATGTTACTAACCACATGGAAGGAAGGAGAGGGGAAGCTTGTTGGCTTGCTTTGGGCTGTTTGCTTTCGCTGCAGGTCCCCTGGGGATGGATGTGCCCCTGGCATTTCTGTCTGTGGATGCTCCAGACCGTGGGCCCTGCAGCTCCTTGGCTGTCCAAGCTCAGTAGTGTCACTGCTGGGAGCTGCCAACGGCTCTCGTGGATGCAGCCCTCACCAGGAAGGTGGATGGTCCTCTGGCAGCCCCATCCCCAGCACCCCTCGGCTGCTGCTCCCAGCCCCTGTTGGCGTGGGGAGCTCGCTGTGCAGGGAACAGTGCCAGAGGTGCCGGCAGCAGGAGCGTCCCATGGGCACACAGGGGCTCCCAAAGCTCTGCCCTGGCAGCGTGGGCTCCCAAAGCTCTGCCCTGGCAGCGTGGGCTCCCAAAGCTCTGCCCTGGCAGTGTCCCCTGTCTGTGGGAACTGAGCTGGCTCCTTGGCATCACGCTGAGGTTCCTGCTGTTCTCGGGGCTGTGCTCCCAGCACCTGCCTGTAGCTGGGGTTTTCCTGGAGGAACAGCTGGCTGATATTTCATCATGGATCCAGGCTTGAGTTGCTTAGCTCTGTGTGTGCCTGAGAGTTCTCCCAAGGGAAATGGTGAGTGCTGGTGAAACATGGGATGACAAAGCACTAGAAAATACATCTGAGGTATTTCTGTTATGAAGAGGGCTGGACTTTTAGAGAAGGCAGCACATGGATACTCTGAAGGGGGCATAAAAACAGTTGAGAGTCAAATGGCCTTGTTAGTGTATTCTGTATTTGTATAAGAATTGGATCCTTCCTGAGTCCAGCTTGCTGTGCTATATTTGCAATGAGCTATTGGGTCTAATCCCAGTTGTGAGAAAATAATGGCTTTTGTTGCCAAGCATATTTTCTCACTTGTCACAAATCAGTGGGGTGAAGCATATGTTAGAGGAGCGGCTGTCTCAGGCTGCCCGGCGGGAGGATCCGTGACAACACTGTTCTCCTGGATGGATAATTCAGATAATTCAGCATCGTGGAGCAGCCACCCCTGCCCAGCCGGGGGGTGGGTGGGCTGCACCCGGAGCTCTGTGCTGGGGACTTGGCAGCAGGGCTTTGTCCTGCTCCCCGCCGCAGCTTTCATCCCAGCCCGTTGCTAGAGAAACCTCTGCTTTTGTCTGTCCCTGTCTGAGCAGCCAGAGCGTGGCTCTGGCCTGGCGGGGCTGGGGAGGGGTGTTGTGCCAAAAGCACATCTCCTGGAGGAGGAGGAGATGCTTGCTTGCAGGGCCTGGCTCCGGTCTGCAGCTGCTGGGGCAGGGCTGTGCAGGGCTCCCTGCCAGCTCTGCTGGCTGCAGCATCACCAATCCTCACGGCTCCAGGCTCCCCTGTGCTGGAGCATGCCTGGCTCCCACGGCCTCTCACGTGTGGCTTTAGGCTCCAGCCTTTGCAAGTCTTAATTATCCAGGGTGTTCCACTGCCTGCTTTTCACCAGTGTTTGCCTGTGTAGAATTTGGGTTATCTAACATCCCACCCTGAACTCCAGGTGTGCTGCCTACCCGTGAACTCTGCAGGATATCTGGCTGTCCTGCTGGGGTTGGCTTCCGTGGTGGCTCATGCCAGTTAAGGAGCCAAAGGTAAAGTTTTGGGGTTGGATGCAGGATTATCTAACGTGGAAACTGTAGTTGGCAGTTGGTTGAAGGCAGGAATTGCAGGCCTGTAAATCCCCCCATGATGGACGGGATGGACGTAGCATGGCTGCAAGCTGTGCAGGAGCTGTCGGAGCTGTCCCCAGGAGCGCTGACTCCCAGGGACCCTTGGAGCACTGGGTGATGTTCTTCTTTCTCTCTGCTACCACATCTGTCTTGGCACTGATGGTGCCAGCAGCTTTTCAATTTGTTTTCTACACAAACCCTTCCCATTCAGCATGCAGCAGCAGCCCCTGGGGTCACTGTTGGTGTGGTGGCTTTAGGGTCACGGCTGGCAGCTCCCTGTGCTGCAGAGTCTGTCCTGTGCCTCCACATGCTGGGCTGACACTGACCTGGCTGAACTCCTGCTAGGAAGTTTGGAAGTGTCAAATCAACACGTTACAGGCACAGGAAAAACAAATTCTGTTGACAAAGGTCAAAGTGTGCCAGGAGAGAGAGAGCTGGACTGCAGCAAATCGGGAACAGAGAGAGTAAAGACTGAGGCACTGATACCAGTTGTTGTGAGACCTCATTTGCAATTTAGTTTCCTTTCCTGCATTCTTTTAGCAGAGAATTTAACATTTAAAGGTATCTCTAGCATTCTCTGTGGAGTGGGATTGTCCTGCATTTCTAATTTCCACAGCTTGCTGTGAGTGAGGGCTAGTGTGTGAATGTCTGTGTGCAGCAGATGCCCGGAGTGCCCTGTCTGGGCAGAGGCAGCAGCTGTGCTGAGCATCCCTGCTCTGCCTCGCCTTCCTCCTCTGCCAGGGGCCTCGGCTTCTTGCCAGTGTCAGGTGAGCAAAGTGAGAAAAATAGACCTACTTACAAACCTTAGGGAAAGGCAGAGGAGTCTCGTGTGTTACAGATCGTTTATACAGCTGTTAGGAACATTAAAGAGGTTGTTCCTGTAGGTAAGACTGCAATGGCCACAAGTGCTGTGGCTGGTCTGGGCACTGTCATGAGGGGAACAAAGTGGAGGCTCTCAAGGTGAGCACATGCAGGAGCTGCCTCACCTCTGCTGTGCCCAGCTGCCCTCTGCCAGGGGCTGTGTGCTGGTGGGGAGCTGGGGGCAGCTCTCCCCTCTCTCCGAGGGCTCTGGGAGCAGGGAGTGAGCTCATGGACCCGTTCCATCAGCTGACCCTGCCATTCCAGCTCCTCTGATCCCTGTGCCATGCAGCTGCCCCCCGCAGCCAGCTCAGCCCAATTGTTCTCAGTTTGAATAGATTTTCCTACTGTCTAGTCTCATTTTCCCTCTCCTTTCAGCTCTGCTCTCCTGTGGGGCTCCCCATCCCTCTGGGCAGAGCTCAGCTGCTGCTCCAAGGAGAGCGAGAGGCTCCTGCACAGGCGGCCTGGCCAAGTGCACTGCACCGAGCTGCAGAAACCCTGTCCGGGGATGGGCAGGGCTGGGGAGCTGCATTTCCAGCACTTTCTGTGCCACAGGTGCTGTGTTCTTCTCTTGCACACAGGGAAGGTGCCTGGCTGTGCCCGTGAGCAGCGCTGCCATCCCCACTGCCTGCCTGTCCTGTGGGGTCAGAGCTGTGCAGGGTCAGAACTGGATCAGAGCTATGTCAGAGCTGTGCGGGGTCAGAGCTGTGCGGGATCAGAGCTGTGTCAGAGCTGTGCGGGATCAGAGCTGTGTCAGAGCTGTGCGGGATCAGAGCTGTGTCAGAGCTGTGCGGGATCAGAGCTGTGTCAGAGCTGTGCGGGATCAGAGCTGTGTCAGAGCTGTGCGGGATCAGAGCTGTGTCAGAGCTGTGCGGGATCAGAGCTGTGTCAGAGCTGTGCGGGATCAGAGCTGTGTCAGAGCTGTGCGGGATCAGAGCTGTGTCAGAGCTGTGCGGGATCAGAGCTGTGTCAGAGCTGTGCAGGGTCAGAGCTGGATCAGAGCTGTGCGGGGTCAGAGCTGTGCGGGATCAGAGCTGTGTCAGAGCTGTGCGGGGGATTTGCAGCCAGGTGCTGGGTTCCAGCAGTGCCAGGCAGGGTGAGCACTGGAGAGCAGCTCTGTCTGTTGTTCCTGCAGTGCCTGTTCCCTGCAGGATGCAGTGGGGACCCGGCTGCTGTAGGAGACACGAGCTGCCCAAGGAGCCCGTCCCCACACGCCACAGGCACCTCCAGGCACTGCTGAGCACAGTGTGTCTATCCTGGGGTCTGAAGGTCCTTAGGGGAAAGCAAATAAACCTGGAACAGATGAAACCTTTGGTGTTTTTGAGCTGGGATTTGGAGGGCATGAAAAACTTTATAAGCCTTTGAGGCACAGCTGGGTTTGATTTGTAGGTAAAGCCAACAGTGCAGAGGGATGGGTGAGAGAAGGGTGCATGGCAGTGCCAGCTTCCTTGAGGTCACTGCTGGCCATCCTAGAGGTATTCACGTGGACATTTATCAAGAAATAATACATTAGTTTATATGAAAATAGCGTGTGATTTCAGGTAGTACCAGATAGATAGAAGTATTGTTTTCTGGTTTCAAAAGGCAATTGAAATCTCTGAGGTTGGTCTCGGTGTTGTAAGACTGTTTTGACAAATAATAAGGTTTAATGTGAGGCTGGTCAATGGCACTGTCTGCTCTCTTTGGGAAGCAGATTCTTCGGCCTTTTTGAGCCCTGAATTCACCCCAGGGCTTGGAGGGAGCTCCAGCAGAGCTGTGCTGTTTGCTCTGGGACAAGGAAGGACACCCTTCCTGGCCAGTGCTTGTAGCTGATGTCTTTTGTTTTTTCCCCTGTGCTGTGTGCCTGCAGAAATCCGAACGCAGCTGGTGGAGCAGTTCAAATGCCTGGAGCAGCAGTCGGAGTCGCGCCTGCAGCTGCTGCAGGACCTGCAGGAGTTCTTCCGCAGGAAGGCCGAGATCGAGCTGGAGTACTCCCGGAGCCTGGAGAAGCTGGCTGAGCGCTTCTCCTCCAAGATCCGCAGCTCCAGAGAGCACCAGTTCAAGTAAGCGGGTGTTCCCAGGGGCAGGCTGGAGACAAATGATGGGCAGAGGTTGCTGTGAGCGCTGGAGGTTGGTTTGGAGCTGTGCAGCAGAGTAAAGCCCATCATGTCAGCAGTGACCTCCTCTGTGTCATCCCTGCGTGGGGCTCATGGAATAAACGGGACATCTCTCTTTGCAAGACTTCACCCCAGCATCACTGACCTGTGCTGCGTGAATTACACCTACCGTGCACTTCTGGAGTGACACAATAACAATAGGAACTGGGGACTAGGAAGGAGTCAAACACCTTGATTTTTGGAAGGGTCTTGAACTCAGCCATGACTTGATTGTGTGAATAGTGGTGGGCCTGGTCTGTAGCCCTGGTTTCTGTGTGTAGCCCAGTCATCAGCTGTCCAGGTGCTGCATGTTTCATGCAGGCTCACTGGCAGGCTCAGGCTTGGAAGCAGTTTCTGGAAGTGGAGTTTACTGCAGTTTATTTGCAATAAAGCATGTGGTTTTTCTGTGCTTAGCTGTACGGTGTTGGAGGGAGGCAGATCCTTAGTGGAAATATTGTGAAACAAAGCTTTGAAGTAGGAAATATGAACTGAATCTTGGGATTGTGTGAGAACCAAACCAGTGATGCAATTGTGAAATCCATGAATATGTAAACATGTGTTTTGAAAAGCAGCTTCTTTTCAGTTTAACCACACTTGTGAGCTTGGCTAAAACAGAAAATATCTGAAAAAAATAGAAAGAAAACCAAACTTGACTCAGAGTTTCAGTTTGGAGGTGACTGCTCTGTGGTGAGGATATGGCTTGTGCCATTCTGCTGGCTCCATGGAGGCCACTGCCCATTGCAGCTGGGGGCTGCTCCTGCTCCCTGTGCATGTGCCAGCCCAGAGGTGCCCAGCTGGGCTCTGCAGGGTGACGCTTGCTGCTCCTGCTGGGTGTCCGCAGCTGCTGCTCTTGTTGTGTCCCTTGCCACGGCCAGCTCTCCTGGAGTGTCAGGGGATCTCACTGGGCAGCACAAGCGGTGCCAGAGCTGTGCCCAGTGGGATGTGTGCCCTGTGCCTGTTGGGATGTGTGCCCTGTGCCTGTTGGGATGTGTGCCCTGTGCCTGTTGGGATGTGTGCCCTGTGCCTGTTGGGATGTGTGCCCTGTGCCTGTTGGGATGTGTGCCCTGTGCCTGTTGGGATGTGTGCCCTGTGCCCAGTGGATTTGTGCCCTGTGTCTGGCACAGGCTGTGCCCCAGGGCCATGTGGCAGCACCGGTGGCACAGAACCAGGTGCAGGTCCCGGCTGCTCTCCTTGCAGCACCTCAGCCCGAGCTCTCCACCTTCCCCTCCCTGGGCCACAGTGCTTGTCCCTGTCTCTTCTGCCAGCAGTATCTGTGAAAGTCTCTCAGCTGGAATTGTGCCCTTTGTTCCAGATGAAGCTCATGTTGTTCAGTTCAGTTCAGTGGCCAAAGACTGCAGCTGCTGTTCAGTGCCTTTCACATAGAGCCTGGGCTTTGCCTGCTTGCTGCCCTTCTCCTGACCAGCCCCAGGCTCTTTACAGTCTATTTCTTCCTCTAACCCCTGGTGATTTTTTTCCTGTTTCAGCTGCAAGAGCAGTGATTTCTGCTGTTACATTACTAAATCCTATTTATTCCATATTACTAAATCCCATTTAATCTGTTTACTCGGTCTCTCCAGTGTGAGGCTTTACTGCTGTCTTACACCAGGCTCTGCTGCTGATGAGTTGCTGTTCAGATCCTCTCTGTCCTTTTGGCATCTGACTGTTGTGTGTTGGTTGTGTGGTGCTGGGTGCTGCAGTGTGCACCAAGGAGTTGAAGAAATGGGCCAGTAAGGAGCTCTGGTTCAGAGATGGAGCCCACAAAGGTTCAGGGGTGTCTGGCTTCACCCATTAGCTCAGAGCAGTATTAGGGCTCTCCATTGCTTACAGTTCTGGAGGCTGCTGCTGTGCAGTGTCCACAGGTGACAGTGATTTCCACTGTTCTAAAAGACCTGGGCACAAGTGCTGGTGTTGGTGTTGATGGGGTCAGTTTGATTTCAGTGCTTGCTCCTGCTGAGTCTTTGCTGTCCGTTCAATGCCTGGAGACTCCCTTAATACATTTTTTATTTCTAGGCTGCTCCGTACCTGCCCCTACCAGGCTTATCTGCACCACTTCCCCAGCTGCTCATGTGTGTCATTATTCTGGTGAGGCTGTGACACTCTCAAGAGTCACAGTCCCTTCAGCTCCTTTGTCCCCATGCAGCCACGTGCAGCGGGCTGTGCCCAGCCCTGGCTCTGGCAATCGCCGCGGTGCCGTGGCTCGCGGTGGCTCCAGCTCCACACACTCATCAGTTTTCTGTGTGTGTGCATGCAGTGGTGTCTGCAGTCTTCAGGGTGTCCCCTCCAGCATACCTGAGCGTGTTCATGTTGTGCACAGGTAATGCTGGATGCAGAGCCCTTCCATGAGCCCTTTTTAGTGGACTAAACCCAGCAGAATGTATTGGGTGGCAAAGGGCCCTTCTGCAGTGGAGTCACAGCCCTGTTTGTAGTGCGAGTGGAAAGAACGAGCAAAACTCTCTCCCTTTCCAGGGATGTCTCCTCTCCTCTCCTGTGCCATCTTCCAGAACACTCCATTAGGGCAGGGGCTGGCTGGGGGCCCGGTGTGGTACGGGTGTTTGTGTGTGACAGGACATCCCTGCGTGGCAGTGCTGGTACAGCTGGGAGAGATCGTGCCCCAGATCCCAGGGGAGGGAGGCGATGTGCTGGCAGCATTCATTTGAAAATGTGTGCCTTTTCGATGTGTTCACCTGACCTTTTGGGTTTTTTTCCCCACAATTCTGTAGGAAAGATCAGCACCTCCTTTCCCCTGTGAACTGCTGGTACCTGGTTCTGACGCAGACCCGTCGGGAGAGCCGAGACCACGCCACCCTGAACGACATCTTCATGAACAATGTCATCGTCCGGCTGTCACAGATCAGCGAGGATGTCATCAGGCTCTTCAAAAAGGTAACAGCCAGGGCAGCCTTGTTTCATGAGCGTCCATCCTGGCACTTTAGTCTAAAATAGAACTGTAAATGTTGCAGAGCAGATCTTGCAAGGGACCCTCAGTAAAACTCTTCCTAGGCAGTATTTCCTGGAGTTTTGAAGAAGCTGAGATCTAGACCTGTCAGGTCTAGAGTGTGAGGTGTGTCCTGGTGCTCAAAGTGTCAGTGCCAGAGAAATGAGAGGGAGAAATGTGATGACTTCTTTTGGAGACTCTTTGGGGGACTTCAGAGAACAGGTCAGAACAGGCTAGTTGGGTGGAACCTTGCTCAAGAGCAGGACAGCTAAGAGGCAGTTACAAAAGGAGTCAGTGTGGCCTCCTGAAGGGAAGAGTCATGCCTCAGAAATTTGGTGCAGGTATTTCCAGGAGCCCAAGATCATGTCATTAGCTGGTGCAGGGCCCTGGCTGGAAAGGAGCCTTAGCTGAAATTCTTGAAGAGCTGTTGAAGAGTAGAGAGGGGTTGTTTTGTGGATTAATGATTAGTTAAAAGACAGGAAAAAAGGGAAGGAGAGTTCCAGTGCAGTTCCTAATAAATTATTTGGGAAAAGCCTGAATAGTAAGATGACAAAATCTGCTGATGATACAGAATTATTAATGATAACCAAATTAAAAAGAAACATCAGAGACTTCTGAGAATCACACAGTCAGGTGGACCAGGACTGTTCATTGAAGGTGAGGAGTGTGCTAAGAGCAGAGTCCCAGCAGAGGGTAGGCTCAGTGGCTTTGTTTTCATCAGGGCCAGCTGGGGACTGTAGTGAGGAAGCAGTGTGAGCCACAGGGCACCTGCCTCTCCAACAGGAGAACGCTCATAATCAGGGCTTGTCTTGAAATTTCAGCCTGACTGGAGAATAAATTTCATGCGGTATTTTTATGGCCAGTTTCCTCTAGTTTATAGAGCTGACCTAGAAATTAAACTGCAAGGTCGGGTTTGTGTTGGCTGATTTGATATGGATACCATCCCTTTTCCTGTTCTCCAGTCCTGCAGAAATGAGATGTTTGGTATATGTTGGTTAGTCCAGTTCTATCTCAAAATGTTCCTCCCATTTGCATTTTGCTCTGAACTGGTTTTTGAGATTTATATTTAATGTACCCTTCTGCTTTCCCTGCCCATGTCTGTGGATGGTGTGTCTCGTTTGGAAGCACAGAAGAAACTCGGCCAGCTTGCAAACAAGGACATGTATTCAGTGTTCTGAGTGTTCTCCCGTTGTATGTCAGTCCTCAGCCAGGGCAGGATGTGAAGTATTTCATCCATTCAGCAGAATTATTTCTTTGTGTTTGGTTTTCTTTCACTTCCCCTCATTTTTGAACTTAAATTTCAACCTTAGGCTCAACACTTAAATTGAAATGGTTGCTCCTTGTTTCTCCCTCCTCCATCTGTTGCCAGGAGAGCTGGTGTGACTCTGCAGCCTGAGAGAGCCAGCACCTGCTTTGCATCCAGAGGAACCTTTACAGTTTGTGGGCATCTGTAATTCCACTGTGTTTGTTCCTTGGGCTCACCTGTCCTTGGAAATAATGTTCAGCTAAATCAGGGAAAAAACTTACTTTGTGTCAACGTTTGCCTTCCATTTGGACAGGAAGGCTGCCACTTTGGGGCATATTCAGGGTGTTTATTTTTCTCAACCTATGGCATACCTTGTCTGAAGGGGTCTGAGGCTGCACTTTCCACTTCACAGCCAGTGCTCAGTGGGCACCTGTGTGGAAACAGGAGCATGCTGGTAAATGGATTTTGAAGATCCAGCCTTGCAGTGTATGAGGCTGCTCAGAGAAGGGATCTTTCACTGTGGTGTCCAGCCTGGCTTTGAGTGTGGTGGGTAAAGTGCTCCAAGCCCCCTCCAGGGGACCAGGCTGCTGGCACCTAACCCGGCTGCAGAAGGGTTAAAGCACCCACAGTCGTGGTTCAGCTGCTGGGTGTGCTGGAAATTGCTCTTTGATGGTAAATTAGGGTAACGTTTTTTTCCAGAAATGTCACTTCTAATTCTTCCCATCTAGAGTTTATTAATGGGCTGTGACATGCTGTGGGGACATAAGGAACCGGGAGGTTTTGTGTTTCCTGCCTTCATTATGTAAATGTAAACAGTCCTGGCGAAGCGGCAGCGAGGGCTCACGGGGTTCAGGAGGAGCAGTGGCTCAGCAAGTGCTGATCTGCCTGGAAAGATGTGGGGTGCTGAGCTGGGGTGCCAGGCTGCTCCCTCGGCTTCCCTGGGTGAGCCTGGCAGCAGTGGGGTCACCCATCACCGAGTGGGGACACTGCTCTTGGTTCCTCCCCACCCGTGTCCTTTCCCCCCGCTGGCCAGCAGCTCCAACGCCTCCTCTCGTGTCCGGCTGGGAACCCTTCCAACCCAAACCAGCCTGTGCCTCTCTGAGGAAGCAGGAGAAGAAAATTCAATTGGGCAAATTTCCCCGGAGCTTGCAGTGTGAGTCACGTTCCCGATGCAGGAGGAGATGATCGAGGTGAGCGTGTTGCTGTTGCTAATAGGCAGCAGTAAGTGGAGATGCTGAGATGAGTCCCTGCAGGGATCTGGCTCTCTCTGCTCTCAGGGCGGGTCTGACACCATGAAACCTCACAATGTGTCCTGGCAGCCTCAAACCCAGCGTGAGGGACCCATTGCCAGGCAGGTGTGTGCTCCACTCTCACCTTCTGCTGTGGAGAAGGAAGTTTGATGCTTCTTCCAGGTATGGGATACAGGAAATGACACATTTGAGACAGAGCATTGCTATGTCCAAAATGAGGGTGCTGGGTTATTCCCCAGTGTGGGATTAATTATGTGCTGTGACAGTGAATTTAATTACAGCCTGTCCTGCATTGTCCTGGATGGAGGTTGGATGAAGAAGTGGTGTCTGGATGGGAGCTCTTATCTTTGCTCTAGAATAAGTGTTCTCTGTTGCTGTCATCCCTGCTGCTGCTTCCCCATACTTTGTCAGCAGTGGCAGGAATTTTAATAAATTGCTAACTTGAAGCCATTGGTGTCTCAGTGAGCAACTACGAGTTTTAGGAGGAATGTGAGGCATAAAGGAAACAGCTAAATTGTAGTTTGGGTTTTGTGGGTTGTCCCAGGGAACAGGAATGATGTTTTGGTGTTGTCCCCTATAAGAACACAAACATAATTTCTCCATTGGAGAAAGGGAAGGCAGCAGGTTGGGAGGAGAGGCAAATCCTTCAGCTGCTCTCTTGTCTCTGTTTGAAAGAGGCTTCAGCATCCTCACTCTGGGCACTCACTGCCCTCTGGGATGCTGGGAGACTCCAAACACACTGCAGAGCCTTTGGCTCCCTGCAGCAGGGGGCCATGTGTTGGGTTGTGGTTTCTGTAAGCAAATGACTCTTTATCTGTGCTCCCCACCTGTGGTTGCCTGTGCAGGTGTAGCTCATGGAACAACACACTGAGCCAGTTTGTGTTGTTCTATTTTGGAGTCTAAAATTGGGTTTGAAAATTACAGCTTTGTGGCCTTGCCCTGCATGGGGCAGGAAATCCAGGGCAGAGCAGGAGCTGCAGCTCAGCCTGGGCCGTGGCTTCTGCCACCAGCCTGTCCTGTCCTCCTCCCCAGGCTCTTGGGAAGCCTTGGTCTGGGGAGCGGCCTGTGACTCGTGGGGATGGCAGGGGGGGTACGTGTCACTGGGCTCCTGCAGGATGTGGGCTCCAAGCCCCCTGTTTGTGCACCTTGCCTGTAATAACTCAAATTAGAATCACAGAATTGTAATCACAGGTTGTAAAAGCTCTCTGAGACCATCAAGTCCAACCCTTCCCCTAGCACTGCCAAGGCCACCACTAACCCATGTCCCCAAGTGCCACATCCACACAGCTTTTAAATCCCTCCAGGAGCAAAGAAGAAATTTTTCCTAATATTCAAGCTAAACCTCCCTGGCACAACTTGAGGCTGTTTCCTCTTGTCCTGTCCCTTATTCCCTGTCTGCACCATCGTGTCAGGGAGTTGTAGAGATTGAGAAGGTCCCCAGATATCTTCGGGCTGTGTCTGGGGGGATGCACACCTATCATGGCTCTGCTGTGAATTAGCAAGCCCCAGTGAGATTCTTGGGAGCAATGATGATCATTAGTGTGGGTGGGCAGGGGACAGGGACTGGAGTCCAGTCCAGATGAGGGTTCCTGGTGGCCCTGGGCCTCAAGTGAGCATCTTCTGGTCACTGGCATCATCCATGGGAGTGGGACCAGTGTGCATCAGTCGGGGCTCCGGGGATGGACTGTCCTGGGTGCCCTGACACTAACTCACAGACACACTGTGGTTGCTGGGTGGGACTTTCACCCTTCAGACTCCTTGTTTCAGGCTTTGCTTTAAGTCTAGCTTCTAATAATCTAGATTAAACTTTCCACGTAGGTTGTCCCATTGGCTGGAATTAGAGGACCTTTCCGTGTCGAGGGCTTCTCTCATCACCCAGCCCGATGGAATGTTGTTTTCCCTGCCCACGTGCACAAAACTTCCTGGAGTTATTTGAGGAAATCTGGAAGAAACTGCTCAGTTTTGTTTTGGTTTGGTTTAGGGGAGGGAGGAGGGGGGTGTCTAAGCTTAGTTTAAACACATCTTCAAGCTATAATAAGTATTTTCTAGCCAAGAAGATTCCACTGAGAGATTTGTGGTGTAATTACAGGGAGGCAGGAAAGCAGAGCGAGCACATCCCAGCACCTCCAGCTGCTGGCTTTCAGTAGAGTTGGTTTGATCTGCAGCCAAGCTCCAGTGTTGGGCAGCTCCCCATGCTGTGGCCTCTGCATGAAGGGCTGTGTCCATGCTCTAGGAGGCTGTGACTGCATCTGCCCCGTCCTGCCTGGCAAGGAAAGGGAAACACAGGCTGATAATGGGATTTCAGCAGACAGGAGAATGCCAGGAGTTCCTCACTGGCAGTGAGTGTCTCCTCAGCTGGCTGAACTTTGCCTGCTGCTGTTGTGAAACTGGAAACTTTATTATATAACAGTGGTTATATATATATATATATGTGGCTATTTTGTAGTGTCCTTTTTCAGAGATGCTTTGGTTCACTCGGGTCAGAATAGTGAAAATGAGCTACTGAGGAGAAGCTGGGAGGCTGTGACATGGCCAAGGGAAACATAAACCTGGGGTGCCAGTGCTGGGGAGCTCTGATAGTCTTTGCTCTGAAATACCAGCATTGGCTGGAAATGGCAGATGTGTTTAATCACAGAGCAGCAGAGTGTTCAGATCAAGACAGATTGACAGGTGATGCTGTGGGGCTGCAGAGTGCCAGTCTAGGGAACTGCAGACCCACAAATGGCTGTGTACACCCTGCCAGTCTCAAAGTGAGTCTCTGCCAGTCCCCAAACTGGGGAGAATGTTGCATGTTATACCCAAGAGGGGGGTTGACTGTGGGCTGGGAATGAATTCTACCATTCGAAGGGCAAAGCAGTATTGCCTTTAATTTTAGATTCATCTGTTTTGCAGGATAAATAAGTTAAATTATGTGAAATTCCTCCTTATGGTCTCAGAAACTGAGGTTGGGTGGTCCATGGGCAAACATCAACCTCAAATGAATACAAAGCAGTTTTGAAACTGCATGAGACTTTGCTGCACTGTGTATTTACGTTTATGATTCCTCTGAAATGTATTTTCATTTCAGAACTGTGAGTTTTGAGCAAAACAATCTCACCTCCTCTTGTTTTTGTCTTGCAGAGCAAGGAGATTGGCCTCCAGATGCATGAAGAGCTACTGAAAGTCACCAATGAGCTCTACACGGTGAGCGAAGAGCCGATGCCACCATTCCCGGCCGGCAGCGTGGGGAGCAGGGGCCTTTGGCAGAGCACATCTGAGGAGGCTCTGCCCTGGCCATCCTGCTGCATGGCCATTCCTTCCCCTCACATCCTCTGGGAGAGTCTCTCTGCTGGCACTGCTGGATTTCCCAGCAGCCTGAGGCCAAGGGCTGGCTCAGCTGCTTCCCTGGAGCTGGGCTGGGAATGGTAGGGATGTTTGGGTGTGATCTAGGTGTGATCCCAGGCTCTGCAGTGCTCTCACCTGCCGGGGCTCCAGCGCCTTCTGGCCCTGCTCAGCCCCTGGGCTGGTGATTTCCAGTGGCCCTGAGCTGGCTGTGCTTGTTTGTTGGACACCTCCCTGCTCCTGTGAGCCTGGGGGGATGGCTGAACATGAACATTTCCCTTCTGCTGGGGAATGCAGAAAGCTTCTGGCTTATAGAGGCTCTGCTCTTGTGCCCCAAGGAGCTCTTGGGCTGCAGAGCTGTCTGTGCCTCCCAGTGAGGTCATGTGCTGTTAGTTAGGACATGGCTCTTCAAGCAAGTTCTCATAACAGGGTAGTAAAAGTCTTTGTGTTGCTTCTGCCTCTTGCCCTGTAGCAATTGCTTTCTTAAAAATTTATTTTATTTGTGGTTTAGGAGCAACAAAACCATGTAAAGTCTGCCTTTTGTTGGAAAATTGAGATAATGTATTTGCTTTCTTTGGCTGTATCTGTAACTGGTACATAAATAATACTGCAGTAGGTTTATTCCTAAACAATCATTCCATTTCATCTTTTTGAAAAACAGGCCTAAACAACAGAGCATGAATGATTGTATTTGAAATTTCTGCCATAAATCTCCTCTTAACAGGTTTGTTCCCACATTGGCTGTTGAAGGATTTGATTGTTGTGAGACCTGCAGTGTGGGTGGACAGCAGATCAGATTAAAAAGCCTGTGTGAGATTTGGGAGTGCGTTGTTGGTAGTTGAATGTCACAAGCTGTGTTAGGGGTGGTGACTATTTAAGATTAATTACAGCAGCAGCATGACAGATGCAAAGCAAGGGAAGACTCACAAGGGCTGCCCTGGATAGCTGTGGACCTGTGTGCTCTGAACCCAGGCAGTGACAGGCCTGTCCCCGAGGGACACGCTGGGGTCCCAGGTGCGAGCATTGGCCAGGGAGGAGCACAGAGGGCGATTCTGCTCGTCCTCACAGGAGCTGAGATTTCTCCCACTCACTGCTCTGCTCCATGTGCTGAGCAGAATGGGCTTGAATGGTGAAACTGGATCAGCTGTGTGTTTGTGTTCAGCCTTGCTGCTGAGATAACAAACTGGCTGTGTCACCCAGGCAGGAAGGAGCAGGGAAGGGACATGCTGGCTTCAACAGCACGGAGAAAAAGCCTGTGGGGCAGTCAGGGTCACCTCACATCTGCTGGGTGCCAGCAGCTCCTGCTGCTCAGAGTTCTGTCCTTGAGCCATCAGGTGAAAGGGCCCAGCTGTCCCCTGGCTCGGGGGTGCTGGGGTGGCTGGGGACACCTTTGGGACTGAGCTGCTGTTGGTGAGTTCTCTGCAGCACCTTGGGTGCCCACGGGCAGCACGGCAACTGTGGCTGCTGACAAAAACAGACACGGGAAACGGGCCTGGCTCTCAGGACACCAGGCTGCTGCTTCCTGGGAAATGTCCCTTGTCTGCTGTCAGCACAGGGCCTCTACCCACAGCTCATCTGTGCCCTGGCAAGGCTGCTTTTTAAGCCTCTCTGAGGGGAATTCTGTGCACTGGGCAGAAACTACAATTTTTTACAGGCTTCTCAGGCATTCTCTGTCTCAAACTTAAGCCAAAACAACCACATTGATTTTAACTCAGCTTTGTTGCTGTTCGGATGCAAGTCACCCTGTGGACTCTGCATGGAGAGAACCAAAGCCACACTGATTTTAATCAAAAGGGAAGCGGATGACTTTCATTCTGAAGTGGAGATGCTTGTGAATGGTTTTGTGCAGAAATAGTTCAGCTGTGAATTAAAACCAGCTTCGTTCCTTTGGTCCCTCCTGATGGATTCCAGCAGAGAGGTGCCACTTGGAGCTGCTAAAGGCAGAAGGCTGGGGGGCCTGAGCCTGGACCTGTCACAGTCACCCCGTTTCTGCTCTGGCTCCTCCCTGGGTCAGAACCTTGGGCATGAGCTGTTGAGGAGAACAAAGCCCTTGTAGCTGGAGACTGCCAGCAGTGCCATTTATGGCCAGTATTTTGGCAACAGCCTTTATCCAGAACATGTAATTAATATGGAAAACACAACTCGTGTTGTTAAATAACTAATGAACATCGGAACATATTTTTCCTCCTTCACTGCAGCTAATTAACTGATTTGCAGGAAAGCTCCCCAGGACGCAGCTGTGGCAGTTTGTCTTTGTGTCACAGCATTGCAAGCCAGGGACAGCATGGTTTGATTGCAGGCAGCGAGACGGCACGAGGGAATTGCAGATCAGGGGCTGATAGCTGCAGTGCAGGTTGGCCCCGGCCAGAATCGAGGCAGATATTAAACAGAAATATCCTCTGAATTTCCAATAGTGAGCTGTGTGGCAGGGCAGCTGATGAGGAACACTGTGAGCTGTTTAAGGTGTCTGTTTTGGTTGGGTAACTGTCCCATAACCTTTGGATTTCACAAAAAACCTGCAACTTGGACCCCTCTTACTCATTGGGCTTCTCTGTCACGTTGTGTCAGGGTCTCTGTGAGTGCTGTAGAAATCTTTCCTCTCACTGCCTGAAGCCCTGATACCCAGCACTTGGCTTTTTCACTTCCCTCTGTGTGTTTCACAAACACACATAGATGGTGAGGATGAGGAGGGCTCAGTGAAACCCTCTGGTCTCTCTCTTTAAGAAAATCCCAGGAATTGTCTGGTTTATGTATGTCCTGTGACATTCACTGCAGAAAAGGCAGTTTGAAATATGTGGCTGGGATCTGTGTTAAGAATTTGCAGGGTTTGGAAATGCAGCAGCTCAGGGCCAAGGCAGGAGCCTTTGCTCACTGTCCCTTGGCTGTGCCTGCAGTGGGATCTCCCTGCAGGGGAGGTTTGAGGTTTGTGCTGGGATGCGGTGTTGGGAGCCTGCTTCAGCTGAGGGTTGTGCTTGGCAGGAGGAGGGATCATGTGGCTCAGCCTGACCTGCTCCAAGTCACACTCCTGGGTCCTTCTGGCAGCCACAGCTGAGCAAAACTGTGTTTTCTTCTCTAAGCCGTGTGTAAAAATCCCTGCATGTGCGGGTTCCTGCTCTGTTTTAACCCTTGGGCCTCAGGCAGCCCATCCCAGCCCATCCCAGCTCGCCCCAGAGTGTCCCAGCTCATCCCAGCTCATCCCAGAGCGTCCCAGAGTGTCCCAGCCCTGCTGAGGCTGATTGCACTGAGCAGTTGGGCACTGTGGCTGTGTCAAGGCAACGTGAAATAAACCATCCACATCCCAGGGGGAGATGATAGAAGGGGACAGTGTGACTAAAGGCATAAAGAGAGAGGAGCAGATGTGTCCCTCTTGCCAGCTCAGTTAAAGTGATCCAGTGTGCCCTTTGGGCTTCTGTTTCTGAAAGGGAAGGTTGTGGTAGAATTTTGCCTGTAGAGTGTTCCAGGATCAGCATCACCCCTCCTGGATCTGGAATGTGAAGGACAAGGTGCTGCTGCACCTATCCTGGTGTCCTGCTGGCAGCAGCAAGGGGAGGATGAGGTGATGACAGGAGACAAACCCCATTTCTGCCTGGGAATCGCAGCTCCTCCACTTCTGGATGGTTCTGCTGTCTGGGTGGCAGAGCAAGGACTGTCTGATGGCTTAGCAAGTCCAAGTGTAGGGACAGAGGGGTTAGGTCAAAACGGAGTTCAGAGTGACTGTGGCCTCCCTCACAGTCACTGCTCATGGGGAGCCTTTTCCCAACTGCAGAGCTCTGAGGTTGTTCCTTATTTCCCTGCTGGTGGGTGCTCTTTGGCTGCAGATGTGTGCTGGCTCATGTCCCCACGGTGGGACTGAGCGTCATCACAGTTCTAGACCATCCTGGAGCCTCTAGAAGTAGGGCTGGGATTAATCTCTCAAGCTTTCCTCCCTACTTTGTTCCTTAATGGCACTGTGGCCTCCACAGCCCCTCTGCCCTGGCTAGGGCTGCTGGCTTGTCCTGCTCTGGTGCCTGTGTGATCGTGGGCAGGTGGGTCATGGCCTCCTGTGTCTGCAGGTGATGAAGACCTACCACATGTACCATGCGGAGAGCATCAGCGCCGAGAGCAAGCTGAAGGAGGCGGAGAAGCAGGAAGAAAAGCAGTTCAACAAGTCAGGGGACATCAGTGTGAACCTGCTGCGACACGAGGACCGGCCTCAGCGGCGCAGCTCTGTCAAGAAGATCGAGAAGATGAAGGAGAAGGTGGGTGAGAGGGAAGGAGGAGGGAGCTGGGCTTGGGCTCTGTGCAGGCAGCTGGGGTTGGCTTCAGCCTCGTCTTTGTGAGGCCATTCCTGTATCTCTGGGAAGGGCTTAGGAAGGCCGATGTCTTGTGTGTGTGTTCTGCTGGATGGCAACCTAAGGAGGCCATCACAAGTGTCTTCCCTGCTCCTGGCTGTGGGGAAGGGCCAGGACCAGCTTCTAGAGAAGGTTTGACTCAGAGACAGGGATGGGCAGTGCAGCCCTGCACGGGGTGATGGACCTGCACAGGAGCCACGTGGCACCTTCCTGGCTGGCTGGCTGGAGGGAGAGCTGAGGGACTCGGGGGCAATGGTTTCTGGAGGACAGGACTGGAAGGGGTGGTGGGAGCTGCTTCTCCACCAGCGGCTCAGGCCACAGGGTGCCGGGGCCTGGCTGTGCCAGGGGCCCCTGAGGCTGTGCTGAGGAGGGAAGGCACCAGGGTGTCCCGCTTGGCATGGTGGTGCTGCTGGTCAGGACACCAGACCCTGCTCCAGGAGACTGGGACATGTCTGTTCCTGCTAGCAGAAGAATAGTTGGATCTGTAAAATACCAGTGTTCCTCCTCTGTAGACTGTCTGGGAGTGAGAGTGCAGGATTCAGATGGATTTGCTAGGCAAAACCCTTTGTGCCATCTCAGCCTCAGCAAATCCCCCTGGCCTCAGGATCTCTACAAGTTTTTGTGTTAATATTGGAGAAAAGGAGATAGCTTTCCCAGCCAGGACACATCTGCTCATTGGCTCATGCAGTCCTGGGGCATTTCTAGCAGTGAACTTCGTGAAAGGGTTAATCTTTTGATTCAGCCATCAGAGCAAGGATCTGCCTGAGCAGATGTCCCAGGTCTGGAGCACATCTGCTTTCCTACAGTTTTGAATTCTGGGTCCTGTTCTGGATTGTGTAGCTTGGGCCTCTGGGCCAGATTCCACTTTCATACAGCTGCACACATCTGGAGCAAGTCCAAACATATGTCAGCATTTCCAGGGGGAAAATTCGGCCCTCTGGTTTTGACTGATGCCAAAATCCCCAGCAGCAGCTGTGCTCAGGGGCTCCAAGTACCTCTGAGCAGGATGCACTCATCATGGCTGGCTGACAGTGTGAGGGGTGTTCAGATGGGGTCTCCTCCACCCTGGCAAGGTCCCTGTTTTCATACCAGATACAAGTTTCACTAATTACCTCATCACACCCAGGCTGCAGGGTGCTGTGGGGCTCTGTGGCAGGAGAAATGGTGCCAGTACCATCCTGTTTGTGCTCTGACACTCCATTCTGCTTTTTCAGAGACAAGCCAAGTATTCTGAAAACAAGCTGAAGTGTACAAAAGCCAGGAATGACTACCTGCTGAACCTGGCAGCCACCAATGCAGCCGTCAGCAAATACTACATCCACGACGTCTCCGACCTCATCGACGTGAGTCCCTCCCCTGTGCCCATCCAGCCTGGCTCAGCTCTTAATTGCACTCCTGTGTGCTGGGGAAGGGGTGTCTGGGGGCTTCAGGACAGTCCTAACTGGGGCTGAAGATGTCCTGTGAATTGCATTTGCCTTGGGGTGAGCCAGGTGAGACTGAGGTTTCTTGGCCCATTGGTTAGTCTGTGTCTGAGACAGAGAAATCCTTCCTAAGGTCAGACACAGCCTTGGTTTTGGTGCTGAAGCAGAGGGGTTTTTTCTTTCTACTGCTTGGTGCCTTTGGTGGCAATTCAGCACCCGTGGCAGTGCTGTCCTGGCTGGGGAGGGCACCTTGGGGTCTGTCCCAGTGCTCCTCAAAGGGAATAGCCTCAGGGCAGGAGCTGCTGGAGGCAGGGTCATGGCAAGGACAGGCACTGAGCACTGGTGACTCCTACAAACTGCTTTGAGATGATTCAAGCAAGTGATTTACCCAGAGAAGGGATTTCTGCTTCTTCCTTTAACAGGCATCCCACAGCGTGTAGATTGCACAGTACAGTTTCTTCCTGCTGGAGTTGCCTCAGTGAATGCATAAGTAGCTGAGCTTGAAGCACTGAGTTACCATCATTACCTAAATGTACCATTTAAAAAACTGCTTGAGTGTTTACCTCCTTTCCTAGCCCATTAGCATGTAGTTACACTTCTGAGAATTAATTAAAGTCTGATGCAAAACCCCTGATGACTTCAAGATTTTGATATATGATAAAATACTCTTCATTATGTCCCTTTTGTTCTCTTCATTATTGAAGATGTGTTAAAAAACAAGTGAGTTGATAGTGGAGACATTTGAATGGCAAAGTGTGAGAACACCTTGATTTATCTGCAGGCTTTCTGCTTTTGTGGTGTATATTCTCTCTTTCATTTAATTACTTTTTAAGCAAGAATGACTTACTTTTGTGGAGTTTTTTGAACTTTGATTTTCTGGAGAATTGCTGAGTTCCATTTTAGTTTTGTGTCTTTATATTATTCTTCCCAACTTTTATTTCTTCATTGACACTTCCACTAGAGTCAGCAGATGGCATTTCTCCTGCACTCCAGGAATCCCTTCAGGGACTTTTTGCTGAAGCATCTTTAACATGGAGCAAAGAAATTTCCCCAATTATAAATTCTGTTCACCAGAGAAACAAAATATTGGATGTGTGAGCTGAGCACAGGTGTCCTATATATTTTTATATATATATATATATATCCTGAAAGGGAGAGGAGTTTATCTGAGCAGGCTTTTTTACAAGTTGGGTGTGTTTTGCAAGGGTGAGACAAGAAGGGCTTCAGCAGCTCCAGAAGAAAGGGATCCAGGTCACGGGATGCCAGTGGTGCTGGAGGGGTCTGTGCAGGGCAGCTGAGTCCATGGAGGGAGTGGGTGAGAAGGGGCTCAGGGGGAGCAGAGCCTGGGGCAGCTCCAGGGCCACGCTCCCGTGGCTCCTGCTAGCTCCTGCACCCTCCAGGGAACGGTGAGGGACGCACCAGGCTGGCTCTGGGGTGTGGAGAGGCGAGGGGCTCGCACACCCTCCATCTCCAGCACAAACAGCCACGTGTGACTGCTGATTTCACACAGATGCAAACAGGACGCTGCAGCAGCCAATTTACCGGCGTTTCCCCCAAATCCCAGCTGCCCTGGTGCCATCTCTTAGGCACTGCCTGGACATCACTTGCTCCCTGGGCATCCCTGCAGAGCAGTGGCTGGTGACAGAGCCGTGCTGGCCTCCTGCCCTGGCGAGGCAGAGGGCCCAGCTGCTCTGTGAGGGTGGGAGATCTCCAGGGCTGCGGCTTAAGGAGCGCTGGAAAGCCCAGCAGAGGAGCCGTGAAGGGGCACAGCACCGGCTGCCCCTCTGTCTCCAGTGGCCTTGTTGTTTCCTCCTAGAAAGGAAGGGAAGAATATAGAGGCAGATCAAATCAGCCTTGGTCTGGCAGTGCACCATGGGGCTCCTCCTTGGATGACACGTGTGTCAGTTTAAACGCCTGGGCCTGGCTCATTTCTGTCATTAACTGTGTGACCAAGTTAATCTTTTTGTCCACGTATGCAAAGAGGAGATAAAGCTCCTTATCCATCCCTCTGGAGTTCTGTGGGAAATGGCTGCAAGACAGTTTGAAGTGGTCACATGAAAGATATCACTGGATTCAGTAGAGAAAATGGAACAGTCGGTGTCCATACGAACCGATCTGCCAAAATGCGTGCAGCCTCCTCTGAGTCCTGGAGCAGCAACTTGCTTCCCTTCAGATTAGTGTTTGCTGTATCTGAGCCAAACAAGCCAGGAAAGGAGGGGAACTCTGAGGAAATTCAACGTTACATGGAACCATCGAATTGTTTGGTCCCTGGAAAAATTAGCTGAGTCAAGTTAGGGAACCAAATCAGCAGTTCAAAGAGTTATGCCAAAAATCCTCAGTTAGCTTTACTGGCCTGGTTGAACAGGGCTTGGAGCAACCTGGGCTAGTGGAAGGTGTCCCTGTTCATGGCAGGGTAGTTGAAATTGGATAATCTTTAAGGTCTTTCCCAACACAAACCATTCTGGGATTCTGTGATTTACTTGCCGCACAGTACAGCTCTGGGATTTGCAGCAATGTCAAGAAAGTGCAGGCCAGAAATTAAAATAGTCATATAATTAATATATATTATGCATATAATTAAAAATAATGTAGAATATTTTTTAAAAACCAGATAAGGAAAAAATGCAGAGAAGAGGGAACGGAGCAGAGCCAATGAGTTGGGCTCTTCATTTGCAGGCAGTGCTGGTCCTCTGGAGGCGTTACTGCTCTGCCTGGGAAGTGAAGGGGAGGCTTGCAGGGCACCCAGGTGTTACTCCAGGGTCCCACTTGCTCAGGTGAGGCTCTCATGTGCAGGTTCAGCCTCTCAGATTACAGAGGGGCTCAAAGTTGCTGGAGCCACAGAGCACTGCGTGCACCCTGCTGCAGCTCTGGGATGGGTGCTGGGAGGCACACAGGTCTTTGGCTGCTTCCGTGCTGTTCTGGCCAAACGTGCTTGCTTGAGCTCCAGGAGCTGGTTTGTTTCTCAAGCTGAACACTGGGATATTTCCATCCCTTGCAGGGTGTCACCAGACGTGATGAATTAATGCTTGGGGAGCTCTAAGCTTGGCCGATGAAAGGCGCTGCAGAAGGGCTGGGGATTATTATTTGTGGTTCTAATTTATTTGCCATCAAAGGGATGAGAGGGGTGAGAAAATGCCATTTGTTCTGGGGCTGGGAGCCTTGGTTTGAAGTCTTTTTTTTCTTCCTTTTTCTTTTCCCCTCCCCATTGTGTGTTCCTCTGGGAATTGCGTGGAAGTCCCTGCTTCGTCTTTTCTTCTCTGGGCACCCGTGTGTGAAGCAGCCGGCGCGGTGCTGATCAGCAGGGACTTCAAGGGCTGCAGTGTGTGCGGGAAGTGCCTGCCCTGGTTCTCAGGAGCAGCTGATTGCTGGGCACGGCAAATCGCTGCCGGCTTCAGTGCGAGGCCAGCAGCACAAGAAAGGAAACATTTCACGTGGAATTTTCTCCTAAAAGCATCTGGCAATGCCCTGAGCCCCTCTCCTTGGGTTCTGTGGCATTCAGCACTTTGCCTTGTAGTGGCTCAGTTTTGTGTGCTTTGGGAATTCCCACCCTTGAGCAGTGGCAGATATTGCCTCCTGGTTTTTTGTAGCCAAGTAGCTGTGATTTCAGGGGCTGGGAGAACATGGGTGAGGGCTGGGAAATGCTGGGGAATGCACAGTGCATTCCCAGGGTACAGTGGTCAGCTGGTCATGGCAGGAGTGCTGGTCCTCCCCCCGTGCTGGCACAGGGGTCCCAGCCCTGGTCCCTGCCCGTCTGTGTGGCAGCCCCTCGGCTGCATTGTCCCACCTCTGGGCTTCCTGTACAGCCTGGAGTGGTGCAGATGTTCATGCTGAAACTCTCTCACGGCAGAAACTTGCAGTGCAAAATGATGTTTTGCCCCAAGCAGCAAATGGAAATTCACCCCTTATCTTTTTTGTGTTGCTTGTTGATTTTTACAAGGCAGGTCTGTGCCAGTCCATAACTGCCCATACTCTCAATTAATGTGATTAGAAACTAAATAGAAGCAGGATAAATGGAAGGCTGTGACAATTGAATAATTTTTACAAAATTCCTCATTATTGCACATGGGGCTTCAGAGCTTCTAAAGACGAGGGGAGCAGTGGGGCTGGGAGCTGGCCCAGTGTGGCTTTGCTCCTGCTGGTTCCAGCAGAGGCTGCAGCAAGCACAGCCCTGCTGTGACATGATCTGAGCTGAGCTGTGTCTCCTCACATCGGCTCCGAGCATGAGACGCCTTCTTGGCTTGGAGCTGCTTGTGGCACCAACTGAGGTTTTGGATTTCACTTCGAGTTTATCAATCTGAATTTCAGGAGGTATTTCTTCATGGAAAGGGTTGTCAGACACTGGAATGGGCTGCCCAGGGAGGTGGTGGAGTTTTCATCCCTGGAGGCATTCAAGGAATAGCCGGATGTGGCATTCAGTGCCCTGGGCTGGGTGACAAAGGTGGGGATTGGTCACAGGTTGGACTTGCTCAGCTCTGATGGATCTTCCAGGGCAGCAAATCCCTGTGCTGGTATGACGCTTGACATGCCAAATTCAGCTGTAGTGAGGATGATGTTTAAAACCAGGTTTTTGTCTAAAATACAGTATTTTGGCAGCAATTAACTCCAAGGTTTATCATTTTCCCCAAGACAGACACAAAAGTGTCAGCAGCATGAGGAGCTGCTCCATGGTGGGAGGCAGGCAGCTGTGCAGGGACAGAGCAGGACGTGCACACGCTGCAGGGCACGGTGTCCACTGCCACGCCTTGCTTCAACATCCATCTGCGCTTGAGAACCTTGAGCAGTGGTTTGGGAGTGTTTGTGTGACCAGGCCCCCCTTTGTGTTTCTCAGTGCTGTGATCTGGGATTCCACGCCAGCCTTGCTCGGACCTTCAGGACGTACCTGTCTGCTGAGTACAACCTGGAGACGTCCCGCCACGAGGGCCTGGACATCATCGAGAACGCCGTGGACAACCTGGACGCACGGAGCGACAAGCACACCATCATGGACATGTGCAACCAGGTCTTCTGCCCGCCGCTGAAGTTCGAGTTCCAGCCACACATGGGGGATGAGGTAACGTGCTCACCTGTGGGGCTGCAGAGGGGCCCGGCCTGGCCCTCCCCATGACCATTGCTGGGAAATTGTTCCTGACTCCTTACCCCTCTCGGCTGCCTTCACTCACTGCTCTTTGTGTTTCCTTTCCTAATGAGACTCTTGGCTCGTTAGGGCTCCTCCTTTCAGGCTGCCTCTTGCTCCGTGTCTCTCCCAATTAGGGAGCCCACGGTTCGGCTCTCTCTGCCCCACAGATCTGCACAGGGGAGCTGTGATTAACCTGCTGTAACTGGGAGATGGCCGAGTGCAAATCACTCGGTGCTGGCCCAGCTCCAGGGCACTGCTGATGGGACACACGGCAACACAGCCTCTCTGGAGGCTGCCAGGAGCTCGTGGGGGCTGGAGGGAATTGTGTGGGTGTGGAAATGCGTGTCTGGACCGTGTGTGACCCGTGGAATGTCTCCTGTCTCAGGTGTGCCAGGTGAGCGCCCAGCAGCCCGTGCAGACCGAGCTGCTGATGCGGTACCACCAGCTGCAGTCTCGGCTGGCCACCCTCAAGATCGAGAATGAAGAGGTAAGAGGTCAGGTCTATGGGCAGAGCTGCTGAGCCTTGTTCCTCTGGAGGTTTCCTGGTGTGCTCAGGTGTGGAGACCCTCCTGTGGCAGGGCTGGAGGTGCCCACAGACCGCAGCCAGTGCTAGCCCAGGGCTCAGGAGCTGCCTGTTGAGTGGTTGGCTCAAGATGAGTCCTTTTCCCAGTCTGCCTCAAACCATGTTGTCCTATTTCTGGTAGGTACGGAAAACGCTGGATGCCACAATGCAGACCTTGCAGGACATGCTGACAGTGGAAGATTTTGATGTTTCAGATGCCTTCCAGCACAGCCGCTCCACTGAGTCGGTCAAATCAGCTGCATCAGAGACCTACATGAGCAAAATCAACATTGCCAAGAGGAGAGCCAACCAGCAGGAGACTGAAATGTTCTATTTCACTGTGAGTCTCAGCTCAGGCCATACAGGACACGAAGCATTAATTGCCAGGGCTGAGGCCCAGTTAAGTGCTCATTAGTGAAGAGCAAGAACCAATTCAGTCTCTTTAAGTACTTGTCTTCTGTCACATTTGGGTCTGGAATGCATTTCAGTGGCAGGACACTACATAGGGACTGACAGTCCAGTGCCTGCCTTGTTTTTCTCTTTGAGGGAACAACTGGAGCAGCCAGATGAGATTGAAAACTTTCTGAGTGGAGTAGGAGAGGCACAGAGCAGGGCACAGACTCCAGATGGCCTCACCATGGGCCACCAGCCAGGGTCCCTTCAGGAAAGCCTTCAGGACTGTGAGCTAGGAGCCAAGTCTTCTTCTAGCCTGTACAGCTTAAATTTGCCCTTGGCCTACGATGAGCTGAAGCCACTCGTGTGCCAAGGAAGGCACAGAAGCTGGGCTGTGGTGTGTGTGCCTGCCCTGCAGCTCCCATGCTGCACTCCTGGGCAGAGCTCAGGTCTGTGTTCTGGTTCCTGAAATACAGGCAACAGGCATGAATTCACCAGAAATCTCCCTCATTTCCTGTGGTCATAGCCTATGGTAAACAGCTTCTTGTGCTGTATTACATATGCATAGAAGAGCTTCTACTTTCTCTTAAAAATATTACTGTAAATTGGGAGGGAAATCGCAATTTTTGTTTGGAATTGTGCTTGGGATTATTTTAACAGTTTTTGCAGAGATTTGGTCTTTCCCATTCTCTGTTTTCTGTTTTCTATGTCCTGTCTCCCTCTCTGACCTGTGTAATGCCTTGCTCTGGAGTGTTCCTGGGTGTCCACAGGCTCACTGTGGGATGGGCAGTTGTTCTGCACAGTGTCACCTGCTGCGTGGAGCACCTGGCAGTCCCTGCCTGGGAGAGCTCAGGCACTGGGAGTTCTTGCTTGGCTTTGTTGGTTTGCACAGAGGCAAAGCCTTGGCAGTGCAGGGAAAGCCTCTTTGATTTCCTAGACCATTCCCAGAAGCCTGACAAAAGAAAGCCAGCTTTGAACTCTTTGTCTCTCCCTGCGTTGCCGGGCAGGAGGGGCAGCTCCAAGGAGACCAGGCTAATGAGACCATCAGGGCAGTGGCTGGGGCAGGGAGAAGTGATTGGACCCTGCTGATCCCTGTAGTGCAGCAGTGAATGTCATCAGGGGCTGTGGTGCTTAACCCACCCTGTGTGCTCTTTAATTCCAGAAATTTAAGGAGTATCTGAATGGCAGCAACCTCATCACAAAGCTCCAGGCTAAACACGACCTGCTGAAGCAAACTCTGGGAGAAGGTGAGTTGGGGTCAGGTCCAGGGAGGATTCTCCAGCTACCTGAGAGGGTTTAAACCATGTGTCATCTGTCAGCCTCACCTGTGTGTTCTCCTGATGGTTCTGTGCCTGGCTGCTGCTGCTCAGGCTAACCAGTGACATGCAAAATCATTATTTCCTTGGATTACTCTTCCTGCTTTTCTTTGGCAGTGCACATAGAGAAATCTCTTTGAGTCTGATACTGTGTGCTGAAGTGCTGGGTTACTTCTCCAGCAGCAGAGATTGCCACTGACTCCCACCCTGTGCCGCTTTCCTTCCTCTCCCTCTTCTCCCCCAGAAGATTCTAATCTTCTCCCTCTAGATTTCTAATCTGTCTTTTAATGGTGGGGGCACCAGGTGGGCATCTCTCCTCCCCAAATGCAGCTTCTCTCTGCCAGAAGCCATTCCTTGGGGTGTAGGAACCAGCAGCGGGGGTGTGAGCAGCTGCACAGCTGTGCTCTGCAGTCCTTTGGTGGTGGCTGATGTGGAGGGATGATGGGAACTTGTGTTTCTTACAGGTGAAAGAGCTGAGTGTGGAACAACCAGGTGAGCATGTTCTTCCCCTTGCTTGCTCCTGGGGAGGGCTGGTGCTGGCAGGAGGGGCTGTGGGAAGGGGGGTTTGCTTTGCTACTGGTGCAGCTCGGTGGGGTTGAGTTACCCACCCCCAGCCCCCCTGTGCCACACATCCTGCTTCCCAGCTGCATGGCCTGGAGTGCTGGGATCGGGGGATGGCAAGCAGCCCTTGGTTCTACTGCAGTGTGATTTCTGGCTGGCTGGCTCTGATGTGCCTGGATGTGCTTTGTCAGCACGGTGCAGTGCCCTGGAGCGTAGCTGAGATGGGGTTGTGTTCAGACAGGGTGACACGAGGGTGCCCACTCACTCCCTGCCGTCCCTCTTCCTTTGAGAACTTCAGTATGTCCCTGAAATCCTGTCCCAGCTCTGGCTGCTTTACCTTGGAGTGCAGAGCACACCTGGATCACAGACTTCATCCCTCTGCTGCAGGAGCTAGGGCTGGGGTAAATGTGACCGAGAGGAGGCTTTGATCCGTGTCCAGCCCGTGAAGCAGCTCCACAGAGCTGCAGTGGCTCGCGAGGAGTGTGCTGGTGTTCTTCTGACAGAGAGACCGGGCCAGCAAGGCCTCCAGCAGCTCCCTGGAACATGCACAGTCTCTCCGTGTGTGAGCTTGTTCCAACCTTGTTTGTGTTTGATAAAATAAAGCTCCGTTCCCTGTTAGAGGTGGTGGAGCAGATGGTGCAGCCTGGGCGGCCTTGCCAGGCAGGAAGGAGGCGCCTCATGCTGCCGGCACCAGGCCGAGGGCGTCAGGGCCGGGCCCCGAGGCTCTGCCAGGACAGAAAGGGATGTTCAGAGAGCAGGGGCTGTGCTCCTGTGCAGTGTGGGACACTCCAGGGACAGAGAGGGATGTTCAGAGAGCAGGGGCTGTGCTCCTGTGCAGTGTGGGACACTCTGAGGAGCTGGCCACAGCCCTGCTCCCTGCCACATCAGCTGTCACGGCTGTCACTGGTGCCTCTGGTCACAGAGCTGCCCCGACACCGCAGGGGTGAGTGCAGGGTGCTGGCTGGGGGCTGCGGACACGGTCCCTGCCGTGTGTGGGGCAGGGCTGGGTGCCCCAAGGAGCAGCAGTCACCTCTGCCCCTCAGTTACACTCCTAGGAGTGGCTGGAAGCTGTAGGAGTGTAGAGTCAAGTTGCTTAGTTAGAGGCATCTGATTAGGGAAGCAGCAGACCCCTGCTGTCCCCTTTGCACCGAGCTCTGTGTGAAGTGTCCATGTCCATTCTGTGAGAACTCTGCGTCCCAGCACCCAGTTTTGTGGGTGTTTGCAGCTGTGCTTGTGGCAGAGGGCAGGGCAGAAATCTGTTTGGGATTTTGTGGTGTTTTTCTACATCTAGACACTTAATGTCCTTCATTATCTAGAGGAATTGGACTGGGAATAGCATTAATGAAAGTAGCCCTCCAATGTCCTCAGTACTGCACTGAAACCTGTCACAGGCTTCTCTGGCTTCTTCATCACTAGCAGTGGCAGGGTCATCCCCATCCCTGGGATTCCAAACTGGAGTTAGGTACAGGAGGGTGGAGGTGTTCCCACTGTCCTCATTCTGGCCTCTCTCTGTGAGCAGAACGAAATCTGTTTAGGAACAAACAGGAATACCCCAGTGTTTTCTGGAGTGGCTGTGGTTTATTTTGGATATATCTCCTCTCCGCAGCTGCTCTTGGTGCCTCTTCAGGCTGAGGGAGTGCTGAGCTGGTGGAGGGAGGCAGGAGTTGACTCCAGCTGACCACCAATGCTGTTGGTTTCCTGCTGGAGTGGTGTCGGTGTGGGACACACCAGTGAGAGTGGCTGCATGTGAAATCCTCACAGAGGGACTTTTCTGTTAGATTTCTTATTTTCAGTTATAACCTGTGAGATCTCACCCTGTCATTGCATTTATGTTGGTGTTTTGTTGATTTATTTTGTTCCATTTTCTCCCAGGCCCCCATGTCTTCCCCCTAAGCCACAGAAAATGAGGAGACCTAGGCCTCTCTCAGTCTATAATCATAAGCTCTTTAACGGCAATATGGAAACATTCATTAAGGTACTTGCTGGCTTGCAGGAGTGTCTGTGAATGCTGGGAATGGAATGGTGGCTTTCCTGTCCTGGCTGCTTGCCATCCTCAGGGGGTCCCTGTGGCTCATGTGCACCCAGCTGGCGTGGCCAGCACGGCTTTGCCTCGGTGATGATTTCTCTCCGTAGCTGCCCTCGTGCGTTCCTGGTGTCCCTGTCCCATCAGCTTGGTGCTCCAGACACCACCCATGGAGTATGTACACCCACGTGCAGTGTGAGGCAGTCCTGGATGAGTGTCCTCATTGTCCTGCTGCTCCTACCCATCCTGAGAAGAAAGATTGCACAAGCTTAGCCCAGCCCTCAAAGGAGCAACAGACACATCCCCCTTACTCTTTTCCACATGATGGAATGGAAATGGGACCACATTTTGGTGGTCATCCATCCTTGTGGCTGAGAAGGAAGATACAGTGACCCCAGAAAGTGTCTCCCACTTTCAAGGACTGCCAGCCTGGAGTAGAAATGCTGTTGTATGTGTGGCTGTGTTGGAGGGCAGACAGGTGGTCCTCAGCCTGGCACACAAATCCATCTGTAAGGACCAGCCCAGATGGCTCATCCACTGCCAGCTGCTGCCAGGTGCTGTCCTGTAATCCTGCTCTGGAGAAAGCTTCAGTGAAAACACTTTAGGAAGCACTAAAGACAAACTGTTGGATTAGGTGTCTAATAGGCATCATCTGGCGGGGGTTTATTCCCTCAGCTCAGCCCTAAGCCTGAGGGCAGTGTCTGTACACAGCACCAGCACAGAGAGTGCTGGCCCCGCTGGCAAAGCCTGTAATCCCATTAGGATTTGTGATTACTCCTGACTTAAACTGGTTTTTAAAAAAGTAATGCTCATTAAATCCCAGCCTGTTCAGCACTGAGGAGGAGGAATTACCTGCTCTAGAAATCCATCTGTGCAGGAGTGTCCCATGCTAGCAGAGACCCCTTGGGGTATGCAGCCTCACAGGCAGTGAATGCCCCCATGGCTGCCCAGTGCCCTCCTCAGAGCCTGTGCCCCAGGCAGGGTCTGTCCCTGTCCTGGGGCTCCTGGGAGCACCAGAGGTTCAGACAGGGAGGAATCCAAGAGGCTGTCGCTGCAGGCCGCCAGGCTGGGGTGCAGCGTGTGCCGAAGGGCTTTGGGAGGGAGGGGACAGCCCAAAGGCCTGTGTTGGCCCTCGCTAAGCTGCCATTGCATTTGAGCGTTCATGGCCTCCCAAGGAGATGCTTACCTCTAACTGAACTTATCCCTGCTTAATCTGTTCTCTTTTTTCCACTCTGCTGCTCTTTTGTGTGCTCAGAGGAAGGAGGAATGCGCGAACGAGGAATCAGGTATTTACTGGAGGCCCATCTGCGAGGTGGAGGGAATTGCCCAGAGATGCCACTGTGCTCTGCTGGAAGAACAACCAGAATCCCAAAGAGAAATGTGTCTGCTTGGGCTGTCAGACATGGCCCGTGTCTGGCTTGAGCTTTTGCCACAAGGGGCCTGGGGGAAGCCAGAACTCACCACTGGTTCAGACTCAGGCACTTCACTCCATACACTGGTGTTCGTTGGGTTTTTTAGCACCTGCTGACAATGGCTCTATCCTTTGGTGGAAATATTGTTATAAGCTGTATTAAGGAAGCTTATTCCATTAGCCAGATATAGCACAAGTTTTATTTCAGCTCAGCATTCCACCTTTGGTGTGGAATAGCTGTGATCCCTCGTGGCAGTCTCCTGTCTGAGCCAGACAGGGAGCAGCAATGTTTCACACACCTTAGTGACAGCTTTCTTGTGCGTTTTTGGCTGCACACAGTATCCTCAGCGCATTCAATGGCTCTGTGTTTGTAACACCTCCTTTCCCTGCCTGTCCTCTTACTAAACTCCACACCACTAATTTTCAAATCTCTGGTTTTACGGTCTTTAATGCATTTCCCATGGTCTATTTGTTAGCAATAGACCAGTAATTTTTTGTCTTTTTCCTTTCCTTTCCTGAAGGATTCAGGACAGGCCATTCCACTTGTTGTAGAAAGCTGCATCCGTTACATCAATCTGTACGGTAAGTTGGCTCCATACAGCCACAGAAACCTGCCAAGGAGAAAAGGACTTGAGTGAGCAGTGAGATCCAGCAGAGACTCCCAGGGCTGCCTGCAGTCCTTTCTCCATGGGCTGGGGTTAGAATTCCCATGGCAATGGCTGGGGGGCAGCATTGGATGACTGGCAGATGGTGAGGTTTTGTTAGCACATGCCCAGGTTAAATTGTTTGCTCAGGCCATGAGCCCTTTCAGCACCTTGGTCTGGGGGCCTTGGTTAGAGAACATGAGCAGAAGTGAGGTGCAGCAGGCTGTCCCTGCTTGGTCCAAGCCTGTCTGGTGTATCAACTCCTGGAGTTCTGCTGTTTTTACCTGCAGGTATTGCCCAACAGTTCCAGAAATCTCTCCTGAAGCATTATTCTCTTCCAGGCCTCCAGCAACAGGGAATCTTCAGAGTCCCTGGCTCCCAGGTGGAAGTCAATGACATCAAGAACTCGTTTGAGAGAGGTGTGTAGCTGGGGTGAGCAGGTACAGCAGGATGTCCTGCCTGAGCAGGGATCCTTGCTGGGAGGTGGTGTGTGCTGGGTGCATTAGCCGTGGTGTAAAGCCTGTGGTAAAGCCATTTCTGCTATGAGACACAAGCAGGTTTTATCACTTCTGGGTTTCTGTGTCGTGTCTCTGGCAGTAGTGAGGAGTCACCCAGGGAAGGAGTGTGAGAAGTAGGGGTATGTGCAGAGGTCTTTTCCACGGTCATTAAATCACAAAAGCATAAAAGAGTTTGCTGGGGATCCTTGATTCCTGCAACAGTCTGCCAAGGGAGGTGCAGCATTCCCCTCTGGACCTGGTGCCAGTGCTGGCTGTGGAGGTCTCACCAGTGAATCTGTTGGGAAAATCACTCAGGATGCCAGGCCAGTGAGAAAGGGAAAGCAGTCCTTCTGTCCTGAGTGGAGGGGAGCTGTGACAGGGACAGTCCTGCTGGGAATAGTGACCCTTAATCCTTCAGCAGCATTGGAAGGATCAGGATGAAGGTGGATGGGCCAATGGATAAGGCAGTGTTAGGATTGTCAAAGGGTAGAGGATTTGCACATCCAATTTAAGATTAATTAGCATCCAAATCTTGGGGGCACTGAGATCCTTTCACAGATTTAAGTCAGTACAGAGCTATCCAGAACCACTGGGTCCATTCCAGAGGTGCAGTTGTATCCTCCAGCCAAGCCTGTCCTCTCAGGCTCTCACTCACTGTCATTCAGACCTCCTCAGCTTTCCGGGCTGGTGCTGGAAATGCAAAAAATGAGCTGAGCTGGAAATGGTGAAGGAGAAACAACCAATATAATCCTTGTCCTCAGGAAAGGTTTGAAATCCCCCAGTAAAAAACTGGTTTTCAGGAAAAATCAACATTGCAAATTGCACATGAGGAGGGTTTCTGAACCCTGGGAAATTTGGGTATTCCACTAAATGAGGAAAACCACTTGTGTTGGTCCAGCTTGATGGTGATGATGCCTTTTCTCTGGGCAGGTGAAGACCCCCTTGCTGATGATCAGAATGAAAGAGACATTAACTCAGTGGCTGGAGTCTTGAAGCTGTATTTCCGAGGACTGGAAAACCCGCTCTTTCCTAAGGAAAGGTTTCAAGATTTGATATCTACTATAAGTAAGTACATGTGGCAGCTCTTTGTGGAGAAGTGGGTGGGATGAGAGAAGCCCTGAATGGGGGCAGGTGCACCTGAGCTTGCAGACAGGGGTTTCTGCTCTGGGGAGGGTGGCACGTGGGCAGGGGGAGCTGTTGGGATGTCAGGAGTGTGCACCGGCAGCACTGCGGGGACAGAGAGGGGAAATGACTTCTCTGGGGGGAACAAAGGAGGCAAAATGAGCTTGATGTTTCAGAGGTGATGGAAGTGCTGCCCATTTTGGCTACAGGTTACAGGAGAGATGCTGGGGTTGTTTGGGGTTGGGGTGTCTCAGCTGTAGGGGCACCGATGGGGGAACTGCTCAAGGTCTTGTCTCGGCTTCACTGCCCACGGTGCTTTCACCCCTTCTGAGTGTGCATGTTCATAACTGCTGGGGTCTAGTGATGCTGAGGTGATACCTGGAGGGCACTATGGGCTTGTTCCAGAGCAGAAGATTGTGTTCTGATTTCTCAAGAACAGTTGTTTTATGTGGTAGATTTAGGAAATTCAGTTTTGATGTGTAAAGCAGCACAGCACACGTGAGACAGACAAAGGGAGTTGGTTCTGTACCAGTTCCATGCCCTGGACAAGGATTTGCAGTTTGGCTTGTGCTTTCTCTGGCTGCCCTCCACAGGGGCTGCAGAGCTGGGAGCCTTAGGGCACAGCCTGGGAGAAGGGGATGGGTCCCCTCCAGTGCCAGAATGTTCTTGGTGACATGGCTGCCTGTGTGCTTGCAGATAGGCTTGTGTTTGACACAGCCCTAGTTCATGCTAATTTGCATGATTTATTAAGCTTTTGGGAGTTTTTTTGCAGACATTGTCTGTTAATTTTCTGGGTGCTATTCTCTTATCTCTCTTTATTTTTCCAGTTTTAACAAGAATCTTCATTTTCCTCGTCTTTCTCTTCCTGGTGCTCTTGCAACCTTTTGATTAAGGACAGATTTTAAATAAATTGAAGTGCTTTGTTCCTGTTACAAAGATGACCTGAAGTACAGCTGACTGGGCCACATAAACACACATAAACACAGGCTGCACATATGGTGTCCCAGACTCATCAGGGTGGAAAAGTTTTCCTTTTGCTCTTGGGGAGCTGGGGATTTATGTGGAAGCTCCTCAAAGGCACAAGGGCAATAGACAGGTCAAAAGGCACTTTGCAGAGTCCACATGGGGCTGGCCTTGTGTGTGCAGTGGTGATGGGTACCCTCTTGATTCCTGAGTTGTGCCCAGTTGAAACATTCTGCTAAGTGAGAAAGGCAAGTGCTTTGAGAGTTTGTTCCTCTGGGTGTCACAGCAGATATCTGTTGTCATAGGGTTTTATCCAGTTTGTATTTAGTTGGTTTTTTTTTTAAACAAATATACTCTTATGTAAAACCAAACTGAAGAAGTGGAGAACCCAGCAGGCAATAATGGGATCAATCAGATGGAAAATTTTCCCATGTGAAATACTATAAAGCTATGCATCTTGGTATTCAGGACAGATTTTGTTCAAAATTTTGATTAAATGGCAGCCTAGCTACATGTTGTCAGTGAATTTTATTGTGATTATCAAATGGCATAGTTTGAGCCAGAACAAGACTTCAGTGTGATCCACCTGCTCCAGAAAAGCTCTGGTGCTTGTCCTCTGCTTCCTGTGAAACAGCAGCCACGGGATTAACTCTGTACAGAATACAGGGCTGGCTTAAAGGCAGGACAGCCCTGAGTAACCCCCCTTCCCCTGGGAGGGAGCAGGTGTCCGATGGCAGCTCTGAGCTCTGCACTCCTGTGGAGAGCAGTGAATCTCAAAGTATTGACTCAGCACTGGTTCAGCTAACCTATTTCCTAGGAATTTCTAATTCCTATTCAGAGCAGTAGGAGACAGGAGTGGATGGGCTCTGAAGGATCCAGTGCATAACTCAGAAGGGTAACCTGAATAAGAACCTCATTTAAAAATCTGCCCTAGAAAATCAAGCAGCGCTCTGTTTTCAGTGCCACATTGACTCAGGCTTTTGAGGAACAGAGGAGTTGTTGAGGAATGAAATGAATAATGCATAAACATTTCTTTTAAAAATAAGCCCATGGAAATGTCTTTATTTGCTGTTGGTACTGCATCTGAACATTAGAGTTCCCTGCTGGAGCAGCAGTGTCCCCCATTCTCTTCCTGCATCTCAGTACCAAGCTCACGGATGACCTCTGGAGACAGGCTTTTGTTTTCCTCGCTTACTGGGCCACTAGATCTGGAACAAGTCCCTCTGGTGCTGAGCTGTCTGGTCCTGAAAAGGTTTTTAAAGATGTGCTTTCTATCTATGTGTTCCAGAAATTGAGAACCCTGCAGAGAGAGTGCACCAGATCCAGCAGATCATTGTCACTCTGCCTCGGGCTGTCATCGTGGTCATGAGATACCTCTTTGCTTTCCTTAACCAGTGAGTCTGTTTTCCTGCTTCACCAAGTTCCTCCTTGCTGTCCCTTTTGCCCGGGCTTTGCTGCATGAGCCCTCTGTGGTGTTGCCATGGGCAGCTGTGCTTTGGTTGTTGCCCAGCCTGGTGGCTGTGTGCCTGGGAGGGGCAGCCCGGGGCGCTGGGCTGTGCTGGCAGCTGTTCCCAGCCAGGAACGGCAGCTCCCTCACTCGTGTGCTTGCAGCTTGTCACAGTACAGTGATGAGAACATGATGGATCCCTACAACCTGGCCATCTGCTTCGGGCCCACGCTGATGCACATTCCTGACGGGCAGGATCCGGTGTCCTGCCAGGCCCATGTCAATGAGGTCATCAAAACCATCATCATTCACCACGAGGGCATCTTCCCCAGCCACCGAGAGCTGGAAGGGCCTGTCTACGAGAAGTGCATGACCGGAGGGGAGGAGTACTGGTGAGCTCTGCAGGGTTCCTGCCTACAAACACCTTCATCAGGCCAAGAGGCTCTTGCACACTTGAAGCATTTGATTTAATCTTACCAGTCAAAACAGACAGTTTCACCAGGTGTTTCATTTTCTTGTGCTGACTCACAAGTTATAAACCTTGGTAAAAAACATCAGAGGAAACTTTTTTCCAGTGCAAATACTAATACTGAGGAAAATTTTTTGAGCTGCATCTCCACAGAAGCGTGTTCAGCAAAACAGAATTTTAGGTAAATTCTATCCAAATTCCTACTAGGCTGGAAATTTTGAGTAAGGACCCATAGTTCTATCATAATTTTCTGGTTGGATGAAATCCTTTGGCCCAAGGTTAACCCAAACCTTCCAGTTCCCTTTGTTGCTGGAATTCTAACCAAGCATTTAGGTCTGGGTTTAACAAACCAAGATCAGTAACGGACTTGAACTGATTTTCTACAAGTTTCATCCATTTCTGAGACCTCACCATGCCTGATACTACTCACGTGCCACCCTCCTTCCTGGTGCAGCAGAGGAGCAAGAGCTCACTGTGAATTAGGGAATGGGACATTTAACTTGGTTATTATTAACTTTGTGTTAATTTTGCCAAACTCTGCTAAAGACACAAGAGCCAGCAGAATGTGACATTCTGGGCCTGGTGACCGTGGTGTGTCTGCTGTTCTCTGTTTGGGATCTGCTGTGATTAGAAATCATAGCATCAGAGAATCACAAATTACAGAATTAGTTAGGCTGGGAAAGACCTCCAAGACTGAGTCCAACTTTTGACCAAACACCACCTTGTCACCTAGACACGTCCAGTTGTTTGTTGTACACCTCCAGAGATGGGGGCTCCAGCACCCCGGGCAGCATTAGGTGTGCTGGGTGCTTTGGTGTCATTCTCTGTGTGACACCGCTGTGTTCTCTGCAGTGACAGCCCGCACAGCGAGCCGGGCACCATCGATGAGGTGGACCACGACAACGGGACAGAGCCACACACCAGCGACGATGGTGAGCAGGACATGAGCAGGGGCTGGCTCTGTGCAGCAGAGCTGTGCTTGCAGGAGAGCAGCAAGCACTGCAGGGCAGAGGCTGCACGGGCTGGCTGCTGGCAGAGCTGGGCTGGGCTGGGCTGGAGCAGGAGGCAGAGCTGGGATGGAGCAGGAGCAGGAGGCAGAGCTGGGATGGGCTGGAGCAGGAGGCAGAGCTGGGATGGAGCAGGAGCAGGAGGCAGAGCTGGGATGGGCTGGAGCAGGAGGCAGAGCTGGGATGGAGCAGGAGCAGGAGGCAGAGCTGGGATGGGCTGGAGCAGGAGGCAGAGCTGGGATGGAGCAGGAGCAGGAGGCAGAGCTGGGATGGGCTGGAGCAGGAGGCAGAGCTGGGATGGAGCAGGAGCAGGAGGCAGAGCTGGGATGGGCTGGAGCAGGAGGCAGAGCTGGGATGGAGCAGGAGCAGGAGGCAGAGCTGGGATGGGCTGGAGCAGGAGGCAGAGCTGGGATGGAACAGGAGCACGAGGCAGCCCTGGGCTTCCCACGTGCCAGCAGCACGAGCTGCGAGGCTGGAGTTTGGGAAATGCCGCTGGCACTGCTGTGGGACAGGGAACCAAGGCAGGGCTTGCTGTGTTGGAAGGTCCCTGGGGTGCTGAGCACCTTCTGCCTCTGACAGCTGCTGCTGCCCTGGCTGTGTCCTGCCTTGGCAGAACACATCTGCCTTGTGAGGCTGCACGGAGGAGGAAGGGATCACCTGGAACATGGGGTGAGCCTGGGTGGCTCCAGGCACAGGGAAGGGCACACGAGGCCAGGTAGCTCCAGGCACAGGGAAGGGCACAGGGAAGACTGGGTGGCTCCGGGCACAGGGAAGGGTACAGGGAAAGCTGGGTGGCTCCGGGCACAGGGAAGGGCACATAGGGCTGGGCAGCTCCAGGCTTGCTCTCAGCTCGAGGCAGGAGCCCACAGGCCTGGCAAAGGGAGGCAAAGGAGCTGCTGTGCAGCCAATTTCACACTTGGGTGGCCACATTAATGGCTCTGATTGGGTTTTCCTAGTGATTAACTGTGGTGCCAAGTGTAGAGCAGAGGAGTGGCTGTATTTTGTGGGTTTACATATTCCCTCTCCCCCTTGCCCTGCATACACCCCGTGGTGGTAGCCCAGCATTGTGTCAGGGCTGTGGCAGGAGCCCTCCTGGCTCTGTTTCCTCCAGAGCACTCGGTATTGATCCCCCTGTAGTGGTCCCACACACTCTGCCCTCATGTGGGGTTGCTTAAGGTGGGGAAGATGAATTTGCTGAAGTGGCCTGGCCTGTCCCAGGTGGGGCTGGAATGGGGCAAGGGTCAGATGCATCATCACCCGTGTCCTCCTTTGGTGTCCCCTCCTCCATGTGGGTTTGGTCCCTGAGCAGTGTGGGGTCACACTCTGATGGCTGCTGAGCCCACAGTCAGTGACGAGGCAGAGCAAGGTTCCATGTTTAATGAGAATGAGGCAGATCTGGAGGAACTGGCCAGGCTTGCCCTGTTTTGCTTTGTAATTTTCTGTCTGCCCGTCTCCAGGTGGGGATTGAAAGGCTCCACTGTCTCAGATCATCAGGGCACGTTAATGCTCCAGCAGTGGCAGGGGTGGCTGGGGAGTGGCAGCAGTCTGTCACCCAAGGGAGGCTGGGTCACTGTGGAATGAGGAGAGAGACACTGTTGCTGCTTTGCAGTTGTTTGCAATGGTTCCTTTAGGATTCAGTGTTCCCCAGCTGGAAACAGATGTGTGTAGGAGCCAGGCTCTTTCACAGGTGCCATTGGGTGCCCCAGCAGCTCCTGCTGTCACTCCCTTGGCCAGAGGCTTAGAGGACCCTGGTGTGCTCATGACCTTCCCAAGTGCAGTTCTGCCTCAGCCCTCCTGTGTTTCGTGCCCTGAGCTCCCAGTTTGTGAGTCATGGGTGTTTGGTAGAGCTCACATTAGGAAAAGTGGGGAACAGTGAGGCAGAGTGCTGCAGATGGCACAGTGCAGAGCAGCTGCCTGGCTGGAAATGGTATCCTTATTTCCATGGGGATCCCCAGAGGGGCATTAGTTGCTCATCAATAATTCAGGCCAAACTGTCTCCAGGATGAGGAGGGGAAGAGAAGGTAAGTGGGGTTTGATTGCAGCATCTGACACTGCTTTGACAAAATCTCAGGCTGGAGGATAATGGGGTTCTGTAACCAAAGGTGGAAAATGGGAATGTGGGTGAGAATGCCGTATGCACAGAGAGAGATTGCTGCTGCTCCCCATCTGTTTTGGAGCTGTTTGCAGTTGCTGATAGTTTGTGAGTCTGAGAGAGGTCCCAGAAAGCCTGGAGAAACAGGAATTGATGAGTCTGAAAACAAGAAGGCTTGTGCTCAGTGTGAGGTGCTCTGGGGACGGGCAGCAGCACTGGTGCTCTGGTGAGGTGGCTCTGGAGGCTTCAGCCTCCCTTGTGTGGCTGAACTGAGCTGCTCTCTCGCTGTGCCTCTCTCCTGTGCAGAGGTGGAGCAGATCGAAGCCATAGCCAAGTTTGACTACATTGGACGATCTCCACGGGAGCTCTCCTTCAAGAAAGGGGCCTCGCTCCTGCTGTACCATCGGGCATCGGAGGACTGGTGGGAAGGGAGACACAACGGGGTGGATGGGCTCATTCCCCACCAGTACATCGTGGTGCAAGACATGTGAGTAAAGTGAGGGTTGTTAAAATCATATACTTGCACAAGGTCCACTTGAGTCACCTGAAATAATCAGTTGGTTTTGCTGAGGTTTAATGACTTTGGTGAGAAGTCTGGGCCTGTTCATTTATCCCTCTCAATGTATTGGCTCCATTTATTTCACATTTGGGCTGATAAAGACCAGTACTAAACACTGTACCTCAGTGTACCTGGACCCCATCTCTCATTGACTCCCCAGTGTGGTGTGACTCAGCCTTACCTGGATTGTTGGGTGCTCACCTGGGCTGTGAGCAGATCCCAGGGCCCTTTGCTGCTTCTCTTACAAGTGCTGTATCTGGAGTCATCAGTGGCAGCCACATCAGGGGATGGGGAGGCGGGTGTGCACTGTTCCCAAGGGAAGTGGTGGCCTTGGTGCAGCTCCTTGTTAACAAAGCTTGGAGCTGCTGAAGTGCTGATGTTCAGATTGATGTGGCACCAGGAATGAATGGCACAGCCCTGTCACTGCTGAGGTTTGCTTTCCCTAGGGATGACGCCTTCTCCGACAGCCTGAGCCAGAAGGCCGACAGTGAGGCGAGCAGCGGGCCACTGCTGGATGATAAAGCCTCCTCCAAGAATGACATCCAGTCACCCACAGATCATATCATGGACTATGGCTTTGGGGGAGTGATGGGCAGGTAACTCCCATATTCCTGTCACTGGAGGTGGTTGCTGTCACAGGTGTGGGCAGTCGGTGCGTGGGGTAGGGCAGAATGGGAGTGAAAGCTCTAGTAAGCACTGCAGGGGATTTTATGTGCATTGCTAATGGGGATTTAACATTTACAGAAGATACAGTGGGGCCCTGAGCAGCCTGGGATAGTGGAGGTGTCCCTGCCCATGGCAGGGGGTTGAAACAAGATGAACTTTGAGGTTCCTTCCAACCCAAACTACTCCTACAATTTGATGCTGTCCCTTTCTTGGTGCTGGCTAAGATATTTGTCTTCTCTCTTGTGTGAGCCTTCTGAAGCCAGAAGGAATTTGGTGTGAGCTGAGCTCAGGGCTGGGGGGTGTGGTGGGGCTGGCAGATGCTGACCTGCTGTCGTGCTGTGTTCTGTGCAGAGTGAGGTTGAGGTCTGATGGTGCAGCCATCCCCCGGCGCCGCAGCGGGGGGGACACCCACAGCCCGCCCCGAGGGATGGGGCCTGGCATGGACACCCCTCCTCGAGCAGCAGCCTGCCCCAGCAGCCCCCACAAGATCCCCCTCAACAGGGGCAGGATGGAGAGTCCCGAGAAGCGCAGGATGGCGACGTTCGGCAGCGCGGGCAGCATCAATTTCCCAGACAGGAAGGCCCTGGCTGACAGCCACCCACTGAGATCGACCTGTGGATCCACCCGGCACAGCAGCCTGGGAGATCAGAAATCCCTGGAAGCAGAAGCTCTTGCTGAGGTCAGAGGGCTGGGAAGGGACCAAGGGGCTGAAGGGGAGCTGGGGGCACTGGGGAGTGCCTGGAGCCCCCTCACCCCCGGCGCTGTTACAGTGCCGCTGTCACTCCCAGCTCTCTTGGCTTGTTCTTGTAAAAGGTGCTCACCCTGCTGATGTGAATTTTCACCTTGAAGCCTGTGGGGCTGCTGGGCTTGGGAGTCCGGAGGCTTCTCTGGGAGAGTATTTTCACTCATCATCTTAGGAGCTTAATAGAATGAACTGGTGCTAACTTGAGAGTTATTTCCCTTCAGCTGATCCTTTGAACATTACCTGAGGCTCACTGAGCATTTTGTAGGTGTTATAAAATTAAGGGCCTGTCTTCACCAGGACAGCATTAACTAGAGTGACTTTCCAAACAATTGACTCTAGTGCCTTAAATTGCTTCTCTGATGGTCTTGCTGAGTTAGTGGCCTTATTAAGTTAAGGTGGATTTAAGCAAAGGCAGACTAGGACCTCTCCATTTGTGCAGGAGACCCCAGCACTGCAGCTGTAGGCAGTAGCTGTTTCCCTGGATCACCTTCTGGGGGATCCCTGTGGGCAGATTGTGGGGCCTGGAGTGAGGGGCTGGAGCCAATCTCTCCTCAGCTGCCTCAGGCCTTGTTGCTGCCTCTCGTATATCCACGGCGAGCTGCTGTTGTGCCACTCACTCCATAAACGTCCCTGTGTGTGTCCCTGCCACGTGCCATCGTCCTGTGAGCACAGGGACAGCAGAGGCCCCATGCATCCAGCAGAGGCTGCGGGGCCTCTTTTGTGAGGAAAAGCCAGCCCCAGTGCCGTGGGAGAGCTGTGTGAGCAGGCTGGTGCTCACCCCATCACTCCTGGTGTTCACCCCATCACTCCTGGTGCTCACCCCGTCACTCCTGGTGCTCCTTCATGCCCTTTGGAGCTGGTGACCGAGCTCCTGCTAACCTGGGGAGCACAGGGCACCCTTGGTTTGGGCTTCACGCTTCTCCCAAAGCTCCTGTTTTCCCTGGGAGCTCTCAGATCAGAGGTCCCCTGTGCAGATGCTCATGCCAGGGTGGTGGTGTGGAGCGCAGGAGTGCAGGTGGTGCTGTGGCACAGCGCTGACGCTCCTTTGGCATTCACAGCACATCGAGAAGACCATGAGCACGGCGCTGAACGAGCTGCGGGAGCTGGAGAGGCAGAACACGGCCAAGCAGGCGCCCGACGTGGTGCTGGACACGCTGGAGCCCATGAAGAACCCCCCGATGGGTGCCGCCAACTCGGAGCCGGCCAGCCCCCTGCACACCATCCTGATCCGGGACCCCGACGCGGCCATGCGGCGCAGCAGCAGCTCCACCACCGAGATGATGACCACCTTCAAGCCGGCGCTGTCGGCCCGGCTGGCCGGGGCGCAGCTGCGGCCGCCGCCCATGCGGCCGGTGCGGCCGGTGGTGCAGCACCGCTCCAGCAGCAGCAGCAGCTCGGGGGTGGGCAGCCCCGCCGTCACCCCCACCGAGAAGCTCTTCCCCAGCAGCTCGGCAGACAAATCGGGCACCATGTAGGCTGGGCACGGGGACCGCGGCGGGAGCGGGGCGGGCGCGGGGAGCCTCGCCGGGCGGGCACGGGCTCGGAGCCCTGCTGGGGAGCCTCTGTGGGAGGAAACACGCGTGGGGCCCGGGCCTGGTGCTGTACATACGTGTGTGTGTATGTACATAGGTGTGCGCGCACCCCATCCATGCAGAAACGCTTCCCGAGCTTGCAGTCCTACGGCAGGAGGAGATGGCAGGTCTACGTGTTGGCACTGGAGAACTCACTCGGTGTAGAAGTATATAGTAGAAACAAAGTGTACAGAATTCAGTGACTTTTAAAAACAGTAGATTTACCTCAGAAACTGGCTCTGAAATGTCCTCTCTTGAGACAGTGGGTTGGTCTGGGTTTCCAAGGCTGTCTGTGTGCACCTGGAAGCCCACACTGCAGCAGCTGTGCGTCAAGCAATACAAGGCCATCCTAGAATTTATTTTCTGTACCTCTTGGCATCAAAAAAACAAAAGGGATGGGAATACAGTGGGGTCCGTTCACTGCTGGGCTGTGGAGGAGAGCTGGAAATCCATACATTGACCGTGTGTGTCCGACCAGCTGGAGTTTTTCCAGTCCTGAATCCTGAGATGTCTTCATGTGCCCGTGGTGCCCCGGCAGCAGGGACAAAGCGAGGTGTGTGCCACGGATGGGAATGGAGTGAGTGCCATGAGTGGAACAGAGGGAGGTGTGTGCCACACCCTGTGCAGGAGGAGGACTCTGCGCTGCACCCCGACCGTGGAATGCTGCTGCTCTGCAACTTTTCAGGGTGAACAAGGACTAGTGACCAAACCTGTGGTAAAGCATGGAGTAACTTACAGAGTTTGGAGTCTTCGTCTCCCTTTCCCCTTTCTTTTCCTTTTTTTTTGTTTAAATCCAAACCCAACCCAATGGTCTCTGAAGAATCAGGCCTGAGCAGTGAGGAGGGGTCTCGGGTCAGAGTGGTTGTCCTGCATGAGAAGCATGAGCCGTGTTTGACCGCATCAGATGCAAAACTGATCTGATGGGTGACACTTTGCACTTTCTGTACTGTACCATACAATACAACTGTTTGAGTTTATGCAAAGGAATCTACATTTTGTCTTACCCAGAGGAAAAGATAGGCAGAAGGCTGGGGATTGCATGGTCCTGTGTGATAATCCAGACTCCTCTGTAAGCACTGAATCCAGGATGCTCCGTGCTTCTCCTGCAGCTTTTCCTTGTACAGATTTCCATGCAATGCCCCATGGTTTGATTTGGCACTTCCCCATGGCCACATGCTAATGTCTCCTAATGTTCATCCTTCCTCCCTGCTATCTCTGATCCTGCTGCTCTGTGCCTGGGCAAAGACACCTGCAGGCCCTCCTGACTCACCCAGCAGCCACCCACCCTGCCTGGGGCTTTGCTTTGTCCCCCCCTTCGTCTTCCTCATCTCTCCAGCACTGCTGTGGACCCCAGGCCAAGCAGCCTGACTTCCAGGAGGCAGTGGAGGCCCTGAGCAGGGTGGCAGAACCTGTCAGTCCTGCAGTGATTTGTGGGGAGCTCACAGCTCAGACTGCCTGTACATTCACACCTGAACCTCTGTACCTCCATGCTTGTACTTTCACAGCTGCACCCCCCCATAGCTGCACCCCCCATAGCTGCACCCCCCATAGCTGCACCCCTACAGCTGCACCCCCCCATAGCTGCACCCCTACAGCTGCACCACCCCATAGCTGCGCCCCATAGCTGCACCCCCATAGCTGCACCCCCATAGCTGCACCCCTACAGCTGCACCCCATAACTGCACCACCCCACAGCTGCCCCCACAGCTGCCCCTGTGTGCCAGGCACAGAGCTGATGCCACTGGGACCGGCTGGTGCCCGTCCCGTGCCCACCCCTCGTGTCCCCTCACGCCCCGCTCTGACAGCCCTGTAAATATTGCTGTACTTGCTTAACTGCTCGAAAGTAACTGTTAACCTGTAAACTGTACAAAAATAGGCTAAAATTAGATAAAGCCGATGCCACTCAACAAATCTTTGCACTTAGTAGGTAGCTCAATGTAAAAATAAACCCAGTAATAATAATAGTAATCCCGAAGGGAAGCGAAGCCGCCGGCACCCCTCGCAGAGCCCGTGGGGAGCAGCTCTGCCCATGTCCCTCCCTGTCACTCTGGCAGGGCAGACGGTGTGTGTGCTTGTCTGTGAACGTCCTCAGCGTTTGTAATGACCACAATTGGTTCATGTTGGTGTTTATTTCTCCATCATCCCCCTTTCCTGGCACAGCCCCTGGCCACTGCGCAGCCTGGCGCAGCGGCTGCAGATGTTCAGCCAGGCTGGGCTGGTCAGGGACCTGTGCTGGGGAAGGAAGGACCCATTTGGCACGAGTGCTGTGTATCCATTGCCAATAATTATTACTTTTGTTTCCATTTAGTTCCTGGAGAACGTTTACTTTGCCAGTTTTCTGTTTTTTATATGCTTTCTGAGATGACTAGAGAGCAAACCCATCTTCATTAGGGGTTTTATTTCCTCCCTTCTTTTCACCATACGGTACAAATTCCAGTGTCTTTCTATTAAATTATTACCTTTCATTTTCCTTTGTTTTGTTTTGTTGTGGGTTTTTAATACAATTGTTTTCTTATCTTTAAGTGCCTTTTTGAGCACCAAAACAAATGGTTGGAGTTCAGGCCTGGGGGCTGTGCACACATGGGTTTGTCTGGGCAGTTGTGTTGTGCTGGGGTGATTGTTTTTAAAGTCCTTCCATTTTTCTGTTTAATGAGAAGGGAACCAAGACTTTTTGTTGGAGAATAAACTCCCCCTTTGTAATATGGTATTCCAAGTGTAGTTTTAACTACTGTAAATTTAAGGGAAGAAATGTATTTTTCTGTAAGCGAACTTGGCACAAAATTGAACCACATACATTGTAGGAGCATCATAACTGGACCTCACTCACGGTTTGTGAGTGACTGACTCCAATCCTCGGTCCCTCCCTGAGGGCACAGACTGTGTGTGGGCTTCAGAGTTCACAGAACTTCTGTGACAGCCACGGCCGAGCTGCCACTGGAGCCAGGTGGGGTGAGCTGTGTCCCCGGCCCGCGGAGGGCGGCTGCTCCGGGCAGCTCTGCTGTGCAGTGCAGAGTGAGCGCTGATCTGGGCTTGGCTCCACTGCCCTGCCCTATCCATCCCACCTGTGGTCCTGCTCCATCCATCATCCATCCATCATCCATCCATCATTCATCCATCCATCATCCATCCATCCATCATCCATCCATCCATCATCCATCCATCCATCCATCCATCATCCATCCATCATCCATCCATCATCCATCCATCATCCATCCATCCATCCATCATCCATCCATCCATCCATCATCCATCCATCATCCATCCATCCATCCATCATCCATCCATCCATCATCCATCCATCATCCATCCATCCATCATCCATCCATCCATCATCCATCCATCCATCCATCCATCATCCATCCATCATCCATCCATCATCCATCCATCCATCCATCCATCATCCATCCATCATCCATCCATCCATCCCACCCATGGCCCTGCTCTGTCCATCCTGTCCCTCCATCCATCCGAGCCGTGGTCCTGCCGTGGTGCTGTTGGGGAGCGCGGTGGGAGCGCGGTGGCACCACAGCCCTGCCAGGACAGATCCCGGCACCTGAGTGCTCCCAGGGCGGCAATGACTGCACTTTGTCCCTTAGGCTGAAGTCGCTGGTCGGTGGTTTTTGTATGCCAGGAATGTTATTTAAGTAGCAGTGTTGTGGTTCCCGTGGGGCGGCTGTAGATGTCCCGAGTCTGATTTGCTTTGCGTGGCTGGGCTGCGAGGTGTGCTGGGGACGGGGTTGGTTTTGCCGGGAGGCCGTGGGGCACCGCCGGCTGCTGCCCACTGTACCGGTCATCCTCCTCCTCCTCTTCCTCCTCTGGTGTTGTCTCTGTAACGTATGGTGAGATGCCGTCAGCTAGAGTGTCTGAGTGGGTCCTCGTGCGTGCTGGTGATGCCATGTAGATGAAGCCACTGGTTGAGTGTGGACTCATCCTGTTGAATAAACTGCTTAACTTTTCTCAGAAACGTTGTCTGTGGTTTCAGATCTGCTGCCTCTTCCCCTCACCTTCCTACATCCCACAGCATCCTGCCCTGCCTGGGCCATACAGACTGGCTCGTGCCCCTGCAGCTGGGCTTTGGGGCTGTTTATGGCTGCTGGGGGGATAAAAAACTCAGACTCTAAACAAACAGAGCCCTTGGCAGCCAGGCTGTGAGGAGCTGTGCTGGACTCTCAGGCTGGGTTATCTCTTCCCGTTGTTTTTCCTTTTTTTGCTGCTGGTTCGTGGCTTCACTTTGCTCCCAGCCTGGCAGTGTGGAGAGGCAGAGCCCTCCCTGATTGCTCCTGCCACCCATGCTCGAGGTGGGGCAGCTGCAGACGCAGCTGGGGATGCTCCAGCAGGGTCTGGGGGGCCATGAGCGGGGGGAGGACCGGGTAAAGCTGCAGCTGGGGCTGGACCTGCATCACTCCGGCTTAAACACGGCCGATGGGCTCGGCCTCAGGGGGAGTGCAGGGTGGGCTCCGCCAGCTCCGCCCTGCTCACAGCCTCTCCTCAGCACGGACAGCAGCCGGCAGCAGCAGGGTGCGGCTCTGGCACGACCCGGTACCCACCGGGGCAGCATCCTGGGCCGGGAGCTCCCGGGCACAGCCCCGGGGGAGAGCCCGGGGCGGCTGCAGCCGGTCCTGGGCAGCGGAGACGTGTGGGGGAGCAGGGCCCTGGCCATGCCCCGAGGGTGCCAGCTGTGTGTGACCCCTGTGAGGCCTCTGTGGTGTGTCCAGGTGTGCCAGCTGTGTGCCAGCTGTGCTCGGTGTGACCTCCCCGTGTTCCAGATGTGTGCCAGCTGTGCTCCGTGTTCCGCTCGTCCCGTGCTGCCGGGCCCGGTCCCCGCCGTGTCCGCCCGCTGCCGGCAGAGGGCAGCAGCGCCCCGCGCGGGGAGGGGACCCTTTCCTTTCCTTTCCTTTCCTTTC